TTCGTATCATGGCATTTGTTACTGGCAGCTGATCCACTAGTGCTGTATGGAATACTTCAGCTGGATCACATCCTGAAGACTTTTCCTCAGATGTTGACAATGGGAGGTGTGACAAGCCATCAGCGTTACAGTGTTGCTTAGTCCCCTTAAACTCAATGTCATAAGAGTGTGCTCCTAAGAACAAAGCCCATCGTTGTAGTCGGGTAGCTCACATCACAGGAACTTCTTTTCTAGGATTGAAAATTGACAAAAGGAGCTGATGGTCAGTCACTAAGGTGAACCTTCGCCCATAAAGGTAATGGTGGAACTTATTGATTCCCCATACTAGGCTAAGGGCCTCCCTGTCGATCTGTGCATAATTGCGTTCTGCACATGAAAGAGACCTCAACGCGAATGCAATTGGGTGCTCAAGTCCATTGTCCATAGTATGTGATAAGACAGCGCCAATGTCATACGGGGATGCATCACATGCTAGTCGGATGGGCCTGCTGGATTCTAATGGGTGAGTAGTTCATCAGATGTTATTAGTCGTTTTGTTTCTGCAAATGCCTTTTCACATTTTTCTGACCAATGCCACTTCACTCCTGTCTGTAGTAGTGTATTCAATGGGTACAACACTGAGGCAAGGTTTGGGAGAAACTTGTGGTAATAGTTTACAAGCTCCAGGTATGATCTTAGCTGTGACACATTTTCTGGTTTAGGTGCTTTCAACACTGCCTCAATTTTCTCTTGTGATTTTTGTAAGGTATGTTTGTCAATTACATGTTCGCAATATGTAATTTCACTTTTGAAAAATTCACATTTCTCTCTCTTTGCCCGTAGGCCATACTCATTCAGCCTGGTGAGCACCTTGCTTAGATTTTGGAAGTGATCATCATCGTCTTTTCCTGTCACAATTATATTATCAAGGTAGCACTTTGTTCTAGGTATATCCTGAAGTACCTCTTTGTGCCATTTTCTATGTTGTAATTTAGGCTCTTTTTCAGTTCAGATTCAAATTAATATTGTAATTTGTGTTATATGAAGTGAGCGCTTGTTGCAACTAAATTTAGGGTTACATTGCTGTACTATGTTTGATCATTTGCATTTAAGGTAATTTTAATTTAGTTTGAATTGGTTCAGATTGATTAGTTTGGAATTTCCGGATGTGTAGCCAATGGGAGCTGGCGCTTTGAGTTCACGCATGGATGTGGAGAAAAACGGTTGCCTTTTTGTTTATGTGAGAACTTCATTCAAAGACGGGGCGAACACTGTTTTTCTACCGTCGTTGACACCTAAACACGAGTAGACTCGTTCTTTCCATCTGAAAGTGGTTGATTTCATGAATATGCAATGGGAGAATTCACGGAACACCAGAGAGGAAATTTAGCCACTAAAGCAAACATGAGACGATTGTACTGGTACAGTCCCTTAGGTGTATTGATGGTTAAGAACTTTCTGTTTGACTCCTCCACCTCCATCTGGAGATAAGCTTGTGACAAGTCAATCTTTGAAAACTTCTCCCCTCCAGCCAAAGATGAGAAGATGTCTTCAATTTGTGGCAGGGGACACTGCACTGTGCATAGCAGATGAAATTGTGAATCCTCATGTTCACTTTAATGCACTGCAACATAACATATCAGTGCGCAGGCAGATAACCTATAAGTAAAACCAATAACATAGGGAGCGATTACGCCTAAACAAATAGATCCACTCAGATACTACAGTTGGGGGCTTCATGCTCCTGGTAGGGTCATCCAAGGCAAACAGGTTCTGGGGGACAGATCAGACCAAGAGGTTCAGAAGCCCCTTATGATGAATAAAACTCAGAGGCCAGTGATGTCGCCCGGATTGGCATTACCTGGGCCCCACCCTGGAGCCAGGCCTGGGGTAGATGCTTGCCAGTGAGCGCTTGGTGGGAGGGCCATTCCCCACAGGGTCCAGCTGGGCTCAGCTCGAAGGAGCGGCGTGAAGCCGTCCTCCCATGGACCCACCATCTGCGGGAGGAGCCATATGGAGCCGATGCAGAGAGATCTGGGTGGCAGTCCAAGGCGGGGGCCTCGGCGACCAGATCTCTGGACATGGAGACTAGCTCTGGGGACATGGAATGTCACCTCACTGGGGGGAAGGAGCCTGAGCTTGTGCGGGAGGTTGAGCTTTACCGACTGGATATAGTCAGCCTCACCTCCAAGCACAGCTTGGGCTCTGGAACCCAACTCTTTGAGAGGGGCTGGACTCTCCATTTCTCTGGTGTTGGCTGCAGGGAGCGGCGGAGAGCTGGTGTGGGCCTGCTCATTGTCCACAGCTCAGCCGCCATGTGTTGGAGTTCACCCCGGTGAACGAGAAGGTCTCGTCCCTGCGCCTTTGGGTCAGGGACAGGTCTCTCACTGTGGTGTCAGCATCTGAACCCAAGCGGTGTTCTGTTATTGGACTTCTGTGCTAGTTACAGTTTGTCCATTACGAACACCATGTTCAAGCACAAGGGTGTCTACCAGTGCATGTGGCACCAGGACGCCTTAGGCCAAAGGTCAATGATGACTTTTTCGTTGTGTCATCTGACCTTCGGCCGTGTCAACTGGTCACCACCTGGTTGTGAGTTGGGTCTGCTGGCGGACGAGGAAGCTGGAAAGACCTGGCAGGCCCAAACTAATGTGACCCCAGACCTTCGGGCTGCAGCCAGGATTTGGCACATGGATTTGGCCCAAGTTAGCTCCCTCCCTTAGTGCTCACGTGCTTAGCGCTCCTAGCTGATCAAGCCAGCAACATGTATTTTTTGTCTCCTCAATACTTTCATGGCAGACAAACTAGACCAGGTGATCACTTTTAGAGGTCAAACTGTACATTTCTAACTGAAAATGGTCCCTAACAATATTGTTGGGTTTCAGATGATATCACTACATTCTATAGTCCAATATTATTTAATGTGAGGGTTAGCTAAAATTAATGTTGTTCAGTTGCGGATTTTTGTTGGAAAATAGCATGATCTTGAGTCTAATCAATAATAGAACTGATCAGGTTCAATACATGGGAATTTACCTTTCCAATATTTAATGGAAAAGTACAAAAAACAAACAAAGAAAACTGTTTTGCTTTGCTTTTCAACAGGGAAATCTGGCCCTTGCCCCCTGTCTGTGAGTATGACATTATCACAATCTAGGACCTGAAAACTACCAATATGTGCATGACCGATATGTTACAACCATGGCCCCTGAAAAGGAGAATAATAAAACAAAAACATGCAGAGTTTTAGTTTATGTAAATAATACCATTAGTATTAAGACCAAGAGTGATTATTTTACCTAAAAGGGACTGACTGGTCAGGCAGTCAAATAATTGGACAATATAGACTTCCTGTCTAGTGGTGGATTGTCCAATCTGTCCATTTTGGGATAGCCCCCACCCTCTCAGGTATCCTTGCTGACAGGACAATGGTGGCTGATGATGGGTCAAAGGTAGATGAAAACATGATTCTGAACAGAAAATTACCAATGACCAATTAAGAGTGTTGTTATTAAATAGTAATACATATTTTTGCTAAATAAACTTGATTTGGAGCCAATGGGCCAGCCACTGATTAACATTAATGATGACTGATATTAATGATGATTAATATTAATGATGACTGTTTTCAGAGCTCATTTACTAAACTAATATCTTACAATGTGTCTGTGAGCTTCAGGATAGATTTTAAAGTTCTTTTATTGGTTTATAAAGCTCTTAATGGTCTTTGTCCTATTTATTAATCTGATCTGATTTTATCATATGAGCCTTCTCGGACTCTGAGGTCCTCAGGTAGTCATCTTTTAACTGTCTCAAGAGTCCAAACTAAAACTCACTGTGAGGCATCAGTCATTTTTAACAGCACCCATCCGTGGAACAGTCTACCTGAGGATCTGCGAATGTTCGTATATTTTTTTTTTTTAAAGTAAACTCAAAACGTATCTTTTCAATTTAGCTTTTAGTTGAAGGTTTTACTTGTTTGAAATTATTATTATTATTATTATTATTATTATTATTATTACTATAACCTTTAGGAGCTTTATGTTTTAGTTTAAATTGCTGTATATATGGATGAAACAGTAGGGTGGGGGTGGGGTTGCTGTTGTTTTTAGTCATTGTCATGTTTCTGTTACATGTGAAGCACTTTGTGCTACATTTCAAATGGATGAAAAGAGCTATACAAATAAAGTTTGACTGATTGATTGATTGACATTGTCAATATGTATGGCTGTAGCATTGGCTGGATATTACAGTTATGGGGCTATCAATACAATATCCATCATAAAATGTAATGCAATGATAATTTTGCCAATGTACCACAGAACCTTAGGGGAGGAGATCGACTTCAGCAGCTTTTACAATGTGAGTCTTACCAAATCCATGAATGAACAACCTAGGATTAAATGAGGAAATAGTCCTCTTATATTATCTGTAACAACTGGATGGCCTGTTTTTGTATTTGCCATTGTTTATTTCATATTCACTTGGGTATACTTGTTCTTGTGTAGATGGTAGATGTATGTCTTGCCAGATTTTCTATATATGAGCATGCGCCACTCTGTCCACAGGCCATGGTTTACAGGTGATCTGAGTCCAGACTGGTACATGCTCATATTATGTGATGCATCACTTTCCTTCATTATAATGTTTGTATATATTTTTGTATGGGTGATTTGTCAAATGACATGAAATAAAATTATAGCTAAGCATACCGGAGTGTTTCGGAGCTCTTCTTTCACCTTGTAAATGTATATTTAAGTACTTTTTATACCCATTACACATATTAGTACATAAGATTTTGGACATATGCAGGGGAAGTATTGAGGAACAAAAAAGTCTTTTATATGTTTTTACATCTTATACCTCACATTAAATGATGAAGCTTGTCAAAGCAATCACTGGCTAATGCATTTAGAATGTTTTAAAGAGCTGTGTCATGCTTTGAGCTTCCGCCTCCAGTTTGCTTGATCATGTTTAGTTGTAGAACTTTGTGACACTGGTGTCAGCAGTTCCACTTCCCCAGTCAGTCAGCAGCCTGTTTCGGAGATATAAAACTGGAAAATAGAACAGCTCAATTCACAGCTCACATCACCTCCAACTCCCACACTCTGAGAAGAGAGACACCAGGCTAAGGTGATATGAATCCTCTGATGTATGGTTATATTTATACTCTACTACTATTGTGTGTGGATTAAATTAAATGTTGTTTTTGTAGATGGAACCCTTGAAAAGTGCAAGAAAAGTTGACTTACAGGAATCTGGCAGGTAGGCAATATGTGTTTTGTTTGGATATTACTTTTAAATTTGGACTGTGAATGAAGACTACAATGTTTTGTTTTTTTTATGTCAGACCATACAAAATGCATAAGAGTGAATGAATGTTAGTCTGTGTACATAACTTGCTGACTACTGTTGCCCTCAACCAAGCTGACCAAATGGCTTTGTTACAGTGACCTGTCAGAGCAGATTAAAGTTGCCACTCAGGAGACACACGTGAGAGCGGAGAACGCAGAACTTATGACCAGTTTCCAGAAGGGACAAATCACTCGGACACAGTACAAGGTAAATCACCATGCTCCACAGTTCAATTCATATTTCCTGTGTTCTCACCGATTTCTAAAAGGCACTTTGTTTTGTGTTTAAGCTGGCATCATACATAAAGTTTAAGGAAATTATTTTTTTCTTTCTCCTAAAAAAGGGCAATAGAGCTGCACTCTGGTTGCCTGGCCAACCAAAACTACATCCCGTAGACATCTATAATAGAAAATACAGATTTTATTATTCTGCTCAGATGGTTTGTGATAAAATTCAAAATAATATGCAAAAACAGAGCTTTAACAAAAATTGGTACCTTTCAAATGCAGGTCCTTATCTGTTGGTATACAAAATAATATAACTGTCTCATAGTAAAACTAAACATTTTATTGGTGGGGTACTTAATCATTCTGTGAGAAGCCTATTTCTTTGGGTTGGGGGGTCATAGATGGGGGATTTTATTGCCTAAAAGAGGGAACAACAGAAAAAGGTTGAGAACCAGTGGGTTAACTTGTAGCATCTAAAAAGCTTATTTTAAAAACATTTTGGAGCAGGAGGTAAATTGTGTAATGATGCTATAGTGGTCAACCCTGAGATACCATCTGAAATTCAGGGTTTAAGAAGACATTGATGTGTGTCAGTTTGTTATTACACTAAACTTTATTCTAATGAAGGAAAAAAAATATTAAAAACTGATGTATTGTGATTTTTGTACCACAGGTTCTGCTGTGTTCTCTTTATGAGATCTATACAGCGCTGGAGGAGGCTTTGGACAGAAACTCCTCTCATCCAGCTGTGGCTCCCATCTACTTCCCACAGGAGCTGGACCGTACTGAGGCTTTGGAGAGTGACCTGGAGTTCTTCTTAGGTCCACAGTGGAGGAGCAAGGTCATTGTTCCAGCCGCCACTCACCGATATGCACAGAGGCTACGAGAGGTAAGACATATGATTTTCATGTGATGAAGGGGTGACTGTGGTAATTGTTCTTAGTTGAACTCTGCCCTAAAGGAGAAGTGAAAATTCAGTTGAGTAATGGTCAATGTAAGAGATGATCAGCCAGTACACTGATTCTTCAGCATCACTTACAGTGAATAAACTGGCTTAGGCCTAGACTATGGTAAATGGTCAAATTAAATACAATAAAAATGACTAAATTTTCTTTATTTTGCTTGGTTTTGCTGTCATACAGAAAACCTTTTTTTTTTTAAATTAGCTAATACCATAAATTTTAATAAAGCTAAAGATTTCCCTCCTTGCAGGTTGGTAAGGAGAAGCCAGAGCTGTTGGTGGCCCACGCCTATACTCGTTACCTGGGAGACCTTTCAGGTGGTCAGGTCCTGGGGAAGCTTGCTCAAAAGGCCCTGAATCTGGAGGGCAAAGATGGACTCTCTTTCTTCTCCTTCCCCGGAGTGAGCAGTGCCAACCGCTTTAAGCAGCTGTACCGGAGCAGAATGAACAGCATCGAGTTGTCGGAGGAGCAGAGGAAAGAGGTCCTACAGGAGGCTGTGGACGCCTTTAACTTTAACATCCAGGTCAGATGACTAACAATGAGCTCACTGTTCACTTGGAACATTCAGTTTGTATTGATGGATATTAGAAATATTAAGTAATCAAATACAACTAAAAATCCACATAGATTAGATGTCTGTGGCAAGATAATTCTCTGGAACTGTTATAATTCTAATTGCAAGCCTGCGCAGGTTTAGGTCCCGCTTAGAAGTTTAGTTTTAATTGAAATTTCGTTCTGGCACTGTCCTTATGCTAAAATATTGAATGTGCCAGAAAAATGTAGTTGGATCAATAAGCAAATTCTTACATTTCACCAAATTATACTGTGAAATGTTCCTAAAGTGCTCAACATATCACAAACAGCTGCTGAAAAATACTTTTTATACTGTTATCATAATGTAATAAGGAATTATTTTTATTCCCAGGTTTTCGATGACTTACAGAAAATGCTGAGTGTGACATCTGAATCTTCAGAGAAGCCCCAACAAACATCTCAGAGGGCCCCCTTCTACTTCCCCCCTCCCTCTTCTTTGCAGCTCACTGTGGGGCTGTGTGTGGGGCTGTTCACTGTAGGCATTGGACTGTATAACTTTTAAATGAAACCAGTAATTCGGCACAAGATGCACTTTATGATGTTTTAAGATATTTTTTACTAATCAAACTAGTTGGATCCAATGAAAAATGTATTTAAAATGATTAATTTAATTATGTATAACTGTTATTCAATCAACAAATTAGCAGCTTAATCTAAGGTTTTAAAACATTTACCATAAGTCAAACTAATTACATTCCTAATATTTTGAGAAAGCTTGTGTACAAGATGAAGATAGATTTGTAATGCTTTGAATGCTTTTACTAACAACTGACAATTAGCTTACATAAATACAGAAAGTATTTGATTAAAATGTGATTACAGCTATAAATAAAAATAATTTATAACTGTATTTTTCAACACTTTATTACCAAAGATTATACATTTATAACATTTTTTCATACAAAATAATTCACCACATTTTTTTTTTTTAGACAGTAATTTCTAAGAATGCTCTGTTGGCATAATAAGCGCAAATCAGACCTATGTACATGACCATGGCTTGAGTGACTACTTGACTCTGTAGAGCACCTTCCTCTGCATACGGTGCTGCATCTCGCCCCTCCTCAGCATCAGGTGCAGCACTTTGTAGATGGCGTGCTCTGGGTATTTCTGCACAAGAACAAGATGTATATAGTAAAAAGAGATGGGGAGGGGGCACTGTTTGCACTTGGGGGCTCCTAAATTACCAAAACAAAAATAATTACATCCTTTGATTGGTCATGGTAAATTAGCAACTTGACAGGAGAACCACATCTCACGTTCCAAAAATATGCTGATATAGTAGTTTTATAAAATAAACCTTATGTTTTCTTAACCACTTGTGTCATTTAAAAGGGCCTATATCACACTATTTTCTGAACTGTTATAATGGTCCTTCCTCATCACAAATTACCAGGCCTTAAGACAAATTGGACCCAGTGCCACTTCATTGCCACTCGGGTTCAAGTGATTATTCACATGACACCACATGACACTAAATATATCTAATGCTGAATATGAAGAATATGTTTCCTGTTTTCGAGTGCATTTTAATTCTGCATATGGGAAGATCAATGAATAGATCACAGCATTACAAACAAAAAAGCTCACAAGAGTCAATTTTGTGTAATATATGAAGTAAATACCTAATCACTGCACTATAAATATGTATTATCTTGTTAATGTAGGCAGAGTTAAAAGTGGGATAGATACATTATCTGAGGAACAGCTGTCTCCATAGAGCCTGTAGTGCCCTCTAGTGTTTTTTTAATTTTGATCTTGATGTAACTCACCTGTTTGGTAAAGTCCTGTACAATGCTGTGTTCAGAAACCTGAGAGCCAATGGCAAAGCGTCTCTTGAGCTGCTTCTCAATACGAGACAGCATCTCCTGGTCCTCCTGACTGGTGAAGCCCTCCACACCTGCACAAAATCATCATGTATGTCAAAAGCATGTTAAAAGTAGTCAAACTAAACTGAACAGGCCAAGCCCTCACCTGAAAGGCTCCCTGACAACGCAGCATCCAGGGTGGAGACCTGGAACAGCCGAAGAGCCTCGTCCACCTCCTCTTCTCCTGCCACCGCTTGCAGCTTCATCTTAGCCAGGGACTCTGCGATGCGCACTACTGCCTCCAACTGCCTGTAAAAACCAAACACGCATTGGTCAGTATAAGTAATGTGTAGTAATGAAGACAATGTCTATACATTAACAGCCATCTACATTTCAAGATCAATACTTATTTGGCACCTGCAATGTGCATTTAATTCCATGTATGAGACAAGTGGTAAAAAGTAAATACCTGACAGTGATGGGGATTGAGGGCTTCTTGTCACTCTCACGTTCATGTTCTCTGGCTCCACTTCTCATCACCACATATCTGTTTTTCAGCTTCTCTGCAGCTGCCGCAGACAGACGAGGACCACATTTTCTGCAAAAGTAGAAGGTGGAGCGTTACAAAAAAAATCCTTCACCTACTTTGAAGGATTTGAGGCTATAATCCACTTACGCTCTGGCATAGGCAATGTATTTCTTAAATGTGGCCAGTGGGATTTCACCTTCCACCCCCTCAGTCTGTGTCTGAGCACTCAGATGGACGTTCATCACATGACGAGCCAGAGTCTGGAAACAAGAGCATCAATTGTTAGAACTATAGAACATCTTTTTGTGAATAAACAAATTTTGGGCTCCAGCTGACCATGTCTCTGTTCTGGTCGTGATGGTCTTTTATGATAAAGATCATGTCAAATCGAGACAAGATGGTGGGCATGAAGTCAATGTTATCCTCTCCTTTGGTGTCATCCCATCGACCAAATACAGAGTTAGCAGCAGCCAGCACTGAGCAGCGAGAGTTCAGTGTGGTCGTGATACCAGCCTAAAAAAACGAGACACATTAGAACCTAGTCTACAGGTCTACAAATACTTAACATCTGCTTCTTAGTGATTGAATACCTTGGCAATTGAGATTGTCTGTTGCTCCATGGCTTCATGAATGGCCACTCTATCATCTTCTCTCATCTAAAAAGGACAGCAAATCTTTAAAGGGCGTATATTATGCAAAATTTACTTCTGAGCTTTTAGCCATGAATGAACATTGTTACCTCCTCAAAAACATACATGGACTTGTGTTTCTTTCACACATGTTTAAGTAATGCTTTAATTTGTCTATCTACAAAGCTTCTGCCTTGTGATGTCAAAAAGCAGTAGGTTTCAACTTAACAGCTACTTTTTACCTTCTGTTCAGCAGAGATTGGCAATTCCAGGACTGAACTCATCCAAATAATTTTAGTGAAGGTGTATGGAGTTTGAAAACACAGTGGAGCACATCCTGTATTACTACATGACATCACAAGGTGAAACAGGATTTTCTGTTTAAGAGCTCTGCCTAAATATGCAGGTATGTTTTTGAAGAGGAACATAACATAGATCAGAAAATAGCGTAATATGGGCACTTTAATTACAGTCATTCTTTTCAGTCCAGTAACCAACATAACAGAGCTCTGTTGTACCTTGTCAAACTCATCAATGCACACCACTCCTCCATCTGCCAGGACCATGGCCCCTCCCTCCATGATGAAGCCTCTGGTGTTGGGATCCCTGAGGACAGAGGCCGTCAGACCAGCTGCACTGCTCCCTTTACCTGAGGTGTACACCTGATGATAGACACAGGTTTTATGAGATTTAAAGTAGAAGAAACACAAAAAGTAACAATACAAACAAGTGTCAGGCCTTTATCGGAAAATTCTGCCCCAACAGTTTATACAAAAATAGGAAAGAACTTACCCCAATAGGAGAGCACCGCTCAACAAACTTCAGCAGCTGGGATTTGGCTGTTCCAGGATCTCCCAACATCAGCAGGTTAATGTCTCCTCTGCGGGTTAGGCCATCTGGAAGTCTACAAAAGGAGAAGAGGCTTTTAAAATTAAGATTGTGAAAAATATAAAACCCCTGCCTGGTATATTTTAGTACTACTCAAAAGCACATGGCCTTATGAGACACTGTAGAATTTAAATCCATTTTTTTCCTTCCTCTGACCTTTTCCTTGAGCCTCCAAACAGTAGACACGTGATGGCCTTCTTCAGATCATCACTGCCATAGATGGAGGGAGCAATTGAGCGGGCCAGAGCGTTGTACACATCAGGAGTACCTGCCAGCACCCTCAGCTCCTCCTCCTCCTGGGGCGTCACAGAGCCAGTGGCACCACGACCTGTCAACAGAAAAAACTCTCATCCTCCTTCACAACACACAAGATAATACAAGAGTTACTGTCTGATCTTACCTGTGCCCTCAGTGTCTACCTGGATGCCCACAACCCTAAGGTAAGATGCTCTGATGCCCACTCCCGCAGCCTTCTCTTTGCCTTTGCTCTTAGCAGCGGCCATTTTCTTGATAGAGTAGATTCCTTGGATGGTCACTCTGTTTCCTGGTACCACTCGGTCACACAAGTACCTGACAACGAAGAGCCCCAGTTAGACCATTTTTATGATAGATCAAACTACTCACTGCATAAACACCAATATTCATTTTATTGGCGTGCAAGTTATATTTTACACAACTAGATAACATGTAGGTTGATTATCAAAATAATAAACTTAGTGGACTAAACGGCATCATTTAAAAACAGTGTCAGTCTACTTGAATTCTCAACCTTACCGGTCACAGTAGAGCTGCAGGTGCCGGGGCATCTCTCCGTGAGGAACAGCATCTGGAGACTCCTGGAGCCGTAGAGTCTGGAAGTCCACGCACACACAGCGGTCCGGGATGATGAAGTACGGGTCCATAGGGCACTTTACTCTGCCTGCGTTTTCCCTGAAGAGGAGAGAGTCAAGTTATAAAATTGACATTTTCCTTGACCAGGACAAAAAGGCGTAAAGACAATTATGGAAATTCTGCGTAATCACACCTTTCTATCCATTTCAGTACAGAAAGCACCTTAAAAAGATATGACTTTTTCCTTTAGCTCTGGCTGATATGTTTGCTAGTGTAATGGTTAAAATCTAATCAAGAACAATGCAACAGTAATTTTGTAATCCTGTGTTTAACTGCTGAATCAAGTCAAGGCATGGGACAATATAGAAAACTGTTGTCACGATTATCATGGCCAAAATAATTGCGATGAACAATTACATCACAATCATTATGAAAGTTGTTGACAGTTTAAAAATGTGAAAACAACAATGATCTAGAAGAAAACATCATAAATAGGTATTGTTTTTTTCTGCACATTCTGATGATTTATGGCGTTTCTATTTGTTGGTGAATATCACGATTATATAAAATGGCACACAAATGATTATTGTCTACCCTTTTTAATCATGATAAAATTGTTTATTGTGCATCCCTAATCAAGTCTCCTTTCTGTGTCTTTAGTGCATTTAGACTCACGTGTTGCATTTGCGGGGCAGAGCATAGCCCTGCAGACCCGGGGGCAGGGGGATGTTACTGATCACATTGCGACAGCCCCGACACTGCAGACAAACTTTTGTAGCTTTTGCCTTCACTGGTGTGGCTGAAATGATGATACCGTGGACCTTCACCAGACGGGACACCTGCTCAGACTACACAAAACGCCAAATGTTAGGGTTGAATGAGAAAAAACTGCAAGAACAAGAGCAAAACCATCGTAATTACCTTGAGGTTTCGGATGGATGCATGGTGGGCGTCACTCTTGAGCATGACCTGGATGTCCTGTACGTTCTCCTCTTCCACAGGACGAGGGCGGGTCACTTCATCTGCCACCTCCCGAGCGGCCTCCTCCAACTGACGAACACACATTAAGTTTATTCCACAAAACATTAATTAGATACACACAGTGCAACTCAGCAGGCAGGTGTTGGCACTGACCAGAGGCAGGTTTTCGGTGGGTAGTTTGTAGAGACAATCCGACAAATCCTCATCAAAGCTGGCCAGGTCCTCCATCTCCACCTCCACCCAGTATTCCCCCAGAGTGTAGTGCCGTTTCAGCTCATCTCTGTGCAACATCAGGCAAAAAGGTTAGAAAGACTCTGCATAATAAAATAACGATCGACTGTACAATAGGACGAGTGATTGCTGTATATGGATTTTAATAGAACAAAAAAGCTATAAAAAGTACCTATAAAGTATACATTATTTTTGTGTTTTAGTAATTTTTAAGCAGCTTGTCTGTATTTTACCAAAACAAATGACAATTTATGCCTCTCTTTACTATTGGCAGGTATTGAACTGGTCAAAAATAGGGACATCTGGGACATTTCTTGGATAAAACTGGGACAAATCACTGATTGTGGATAAACCTGCTGGGACAGGGGACACAGGACTCAAAACTGGGACTGTCTAGGGTAAATAGGGACGACTGGTCAACCTATGCGTGAGGATTTTATTGTTAAAACATTACCCCACAATGGATTGAATGAATGCTCTCAGTAGGCCTGCTCTTTGACAAAGACGTGCGCACGCAGATGGATAGTGCTGATCGTCCAATATTAACACGCATTGTATATTAAGCTGGCCCTTACCTGTATTTGTAAGTGAAACCGGTTCGGTCCGTACCGACCCTAAACTGTCGGAGAAACTCTCGGAACCGCTTTTTGATATGAATCCTTTTCTGTCCTCCTTCGTCCATCCCGTGGCCATCTCCTCCGCCAAAGTTGTCACTGTAGTACACTCCAGGATCATCAAAACCAGACATTTTCAACCAGCTCGTGTGATGGAAGTGGAGTTGCGAAAACCGAAGTGTTTTTCCTTAAAAAAAAAAAAGCAATAATCATACAGCGTGCACAGATCTGTAGTGGAGATGCTGCTGCTGTTTCGCGGCAAAGTCTCGTCTCTTTCCGGTCTGTTTCCCGCGAGGAGCTCCAGACCCCGCCTCTCTGCACTAATTTCATTGGCTAAAAAACAAAATCCTCCTTCTATTGGTCAGAAGTTTATATCAGGGAGTGTCGTATTTGAGGAGGTGGGGTTTGTACACAGCAGTGGCGCGAAAATGACATAAGTAGGAGGAAGAGTGGCATGGTGGCAAACAAAAGGGGATATCACAACCAGAGTAGATGTGAAAAAATGTAATGTGAAGTAGATGTAATGTGAAGTAGACTTAATAGGAGAGTGACCAGATGTCCCTATTTACCCGGGACAGTCCCAGTTTTGAGCCCTGTGTCCCCTGTCCCAGTAGATTTATACAAAACCACTGATTTGTCCCAGTTTTATTTAAGAAATGTCCCAGGTGTCCCTATTTTTGACCAGTTTAATCTAAACCAGGTCTAAATCAGGACTACATCAAGTGTAAAACAGGGCTATCACAATTTTTTACTAATCTAACCCCTGCCAACAGTAACGAGGAGAATAAACTGTTATTTGTTTGGCCAAAATACAGAGATCCATTGCTTGCGATTGCCCATAAAGCAAAAAAAATGCAGTGACAGAAGCCTCTCAGATTATGACTGACACAAAAATGCACAATGTGACATGCTCTTTTCAGTTTTATTTATACCAACCATCCCAACCCAGGTGTGTCCCAGTTTAGAATTTAGAAAATATGGTCACCTTACTTATTAAATTATTAAATATAATATGGATTTGATTTAAACATGTTTTCACTGGGTTTTTCTGATCAAAAAGTTTATTCCAGTGAAACAACATATTGCTTCAACACTGCTCCCGTGAACAGTAAAATTTGATCGTCTCATTTCTGGACCTTTCTGGATTATTTAAATGACATGTAAACCTCAAAATCAAAGTAATCAAAGAGGCCATCATCAGAAATAAATCTAATTATTTTCCTCTTCACATCATTTCAATAGTTTTATAACTCCAAAAATCTGACAATAAACATATTTGTGTCTACAATGTAACCAGTCAGCCACTATAGTAGCTTCATCAAGCAGATCCAAAGGTACAGATATTTTTTATAATATTTTTATTTAATGGTGGAATACTGACAAGTTAGTTCACAATTGTTTTTAACATGATTCAAAAGCAGCCTTTCATCTAAGCATAAAATCATTCATGTAAACTTTATTATTACAAAATATATTAAATTCAGTCTTGAGTATAATCACACCCATAGGAAATGAATCCTTCATGCTGTAACTTCTCACTTCCAAGTTGTTTGCAGTTTTCAAGTTAAATAGCCCTTGGTTGACCTCAGCAGTTGTAAAGACTATTAAGTTAGGGTTGTAACTATTTCCATAAAATCATTCACAAGTCATGAGTAACAATCATCGATTTGCAAAAACATATGTACAACATTCACAGTAACTTATTTGATTTTGATTCAGGAAACCACTCCATGTTTTTTGCCTGTTTGAATGAAGGCATCAACGCAGTGGTCAATGTCGTCATCTGTGTGAGCTGCAGAGATCTGGACACGGATCCTGGCTTTGCCCTTTGGTACAACCGGGTATGAGAATCCAATCACATACACTCCTACCGAGGGGAAGAGTCATCATAATCATACAGTTTCAAACATTTAAATTCACATATTCGGTTTATAACTATCTGACCTAGTTTGAGCATGTCGTCAGCCATAACAGAGGCCAGCCGTGCATCTCCCAGCATAACAGGACAGATGGGGTGAGCTGTGCCAGCGATGGTGAAGCCTGCAGCTGTCATCTTGTTTCTGAATCTGAAACAAACAAGAACATTTGGTGTATTAAAAAAGTCAAAAGTGGAAAAATTATGTTTGATTACAGCTGAGTCACATAGTTTAGGAAAATATATGGATATCACTCTACCTGGAAAAACATTGAAATTATATTCTAATCTAATAAAAAAAGACTAATGGCCACTTAAATAAACAAGAGAACATCATGCATTTAAATAGTGCCTTGATGTAGCCAGTGTGCAATAGCTTTTGGTGGTAAATATTCTCACCAAAAGCATTCTAATCTTTAATTACAATGCAAACACTCTAATGCACTATGCAGAATCCTGTAGTATTATGTAAAAGAGCATGTGACAAGGTCTCATGAGTAGGAACATTAACCCTATTCGTGTCAAACAAGGCAAAGTGGTCAGGGCACCATAGCCAGTGTACTGTACCTCATAGTTTTGGCAGACATACTCTGTGCGATCTCATTGGAGGCAAGCAGCAGCTCCACGGCCTTTGTGGCACAGCCCACCACAGGAGGGGGCAGAGAGTTAGAGAACAAGTAAGGACGGGACCGCTGTCTCAGAAGATCAATCAGAGGCTTTGGACCAACTGTGTAACCACCTGGACAAAAAGCATTTTTCCAGTTTGTATTTTTTTTTTTCCAAACACCATTCATTCATAGCACATAATGAGGTGCACTTCTGGAGGAGCTGGACTGCCTAAGTGCCTACGTACTTCTGCAGGGTTCAGGTATTGCATTGCCTCATGCTACCAATGGTGATACTGATGTGAAGCTGAATATAATCAAGATGGGCTTTGCAGTTCTAGTACACCTGTTGTTGTTTGAACACTAAATCCACAGTCTTTCAAGAAATGTACATCTTACCAGCAGCTCCTCCAAGTGCTTTTCCCAATGTGGAGTTTATGATCTGAACTCTGTCCATCACTCCCAGAAGCTCATCTGTTCCTCTGTCAACAAGAGAGTTGCATGCTTATTATTAAAGAGAACATGCAAAGTTTCACAGTATGTCTTACATTCACCACATACCTGCCCCTTGGTCCTAAAAACCCTGTGGCATGACATTCGTCTATGAACACCATAGCGCCATACTGTTCCGCCAAGTCACAAATTCCTGGTAGAGGAGCCACGTCCCCATCCATAGAGAAGACTCCATCAGTGACTACAAGGCGCATACGGGACGACTGAGGAGGAGATGACATTTTAACCAACTGTGAGTAATAATAACAATCAATTTATGTGTGCACCTTTTTGATAACTTTTTTTTTTTTGTTTGGTCGGTTGCAACAAAACGGATTTTCCCTTGGGGATGAATGGAAGTAATTAGGATTATAATAATTAAAATCACCCCAGGAGCCACACCAGCACATTAAGAAGAGCTTAATTGAAATACATAAATAAATAAACATTGAATCGGAGGGGTACTTATAGTAAAAGATACACCTTTCTCTGCATAGGTTTGTTTTGTGTATTTTGTAAACTTGTACGCAAAATGTATACAAACACACCCACCTGAGCCTCCTTGAGTTTGGTTTCCAGATCGCTGAGGTCCATATGTTTGTAGCGCAGCCTTTTGGCTCGACACAGGCGGATACCATCAATGATGGAGGCGTGGTTTAGTTCATCAGAAAGGACTGCATCATCTGGACCCAGCAGCACCTTGAAATGTGCACATATATATGAATTATACTTAGTTTTACATTAATCCGTCTTTCACCAGTCCAGCATAGAGTAGGGCTGTCAAAACAATCAAATGTCAGATATTAATTGTTACAAACAAGTGTAAAGACTAGATAATTAAGAGGTATCACCACTGATGTGTCCTTTAACAGAGCACAGTTGAACCTTCCCTGAATAGTTTCTGAATTGTTTTAGAATGGTCTTGACTCTTGATCTATACAGACAGAACAAACCTTTTCTTTAGTATCATGGCAAGACTAGCACACAATACCTCAAACAGCCCAGCATTGGCATCAAAACAGCTGGCGTATAAGATGCAGTCTTCCCTTTCATGAAACTGGGCCAGTTTCTGCTCCAGATTTTTGTGTAGGTCCTGAAAATGAAAGCATACCTTAATTTACTGACATAATGACGATACGACTGGTGTTAGGAGAATAATGCCAATCCCACCTGTGTGCCACAGATGAATCGGACAGAGCTTAGTCCTGCTCCATAGGCCTGCAGAGCCTCCACCCCAGCCTGTACCACCTCAGGGTGACTGGACAAGCCCAGGTAGTTGTTAGCGCAGAAATTTAATATCCCTGAGAGTAACAGTGAGTGTTGTGTTATGAAAAACAAGTTTAGAACATATTGAAAACAATGGTGAAATAGGCTAATAGCAGAACAATGAGAATGTGGCTTGAACAAAGCATGTAGCTGTGACATCCAGAAGAATTGAACTGGGTGAAGGTCATGGCCTGAACCAAAAGCCTATTCATAATAATTTGCCAAAGGTTCATCCTGAAATGTAAACACTGGCAGACTGGAGTTAGACAGACAGCTGACTCAATACAATTGCAAATTTATGGAAACAGCACTTTCTTTTAGATCAGAACAATGTTGATTATGGTCTGTCTGAGTCAACTACACCAACTAGATAGATGCTGTTTAAGCAGGTAAACCTAAGAGAAACTGTTTTACATGTACCACTGATTGTACTTAAGTTTCTTCTGGAGTATCTCAGGGCCATGTGCCATCATTACACAGTACAAACTTTATTGATTATAATGAGTTCAGTTCCATGCTACAGCAGTCAATATTAGCCTTTTGCAGGTTTGTAACCAGTTTAATCATTGTTCAGTCCAGGGTTAGGCCTACTACCATTTAGACTAGTTTTAGAGAGACAAGCCCTAGTGGTACTTGGGATACTAATATTTAACAACGGGGTACTTGTGTAAACACTCGTCTATAGAGATAAAATTACAAGTTAAACAACAGCACAAAAGTAACTCTTGTTGTGATGAAAATGTATATCAACCGCAAATATACTAACATACTATAGACTGCAAAAATACTACAGTTCAATCTCAAGTTCACAAAGATAAGAATTTGGCAATCTACAAAAGCATGGTGCGTTCAAGGACATCTGTCGTCACGCTATTTATGTCAAATGCACGCTGCAAAAGCTCCTCTGTAAACCTACCGCCACTGCTGCCGTCCACGTTGATATGTGGACCCTGTTTCGAGGTGATGACCCGCTCCCCCTTCCACGTCCCGGCTACGCGGATTGAGTCCAGCTCGGTCTCCAGTAAAGCCCTGGCTTCTGATACCGCCGAATAACTTCGGATCAGACTCGACACTGAGGGCCGGAGCACCCCTTGGGCAGGTTTAAGCAAATTTACAGCTTTTCGAAAAGACATTACGGGAAAGAAAGTTAAATGTTTCAGATGACAAATGAAACGTGGAGGAGGAAAGCTTACAGTAGGTGTTACGATGCGTGAGTGTACGTAAGAAGGGCGTCGCGGGTCTGGCCAATGAACAGCAAGAAGACGAACCACGTGGTCTGTAATGTCCAATCAAAGTGCACTTAGTGTTTACTTACGCGACATCCAGAAAGGCAGCAACGTGTTGCTTTTTATAAATAGTAATAAAATAATAGCTCTGCTCTCTCAGGTGGTTCTTCTCCTTTAGAAATTATTCAAACATTTTATTTACAGTATGAGGTCAGAAGATGTACTATTGTTGGATTCATTTCTTGTAGTGGAGGTTTTGGGTTTTGATTGGGAATCATTTAAATAAAATAAATACAATAAAATAATGTAATATGCAGCATATGCAGGAGGAAAGAAACTATGAAGTAACATCACTCAAATGTATTCAACATTTGGGCGTAGTACTAGTTAGTGGTGCAATGACACAATCATAAACCCAAACATCCAGTTAATCACTTAAGTTTAATATTACAGTTTTGATCATACCTCCTTTTTACAGGAAAAAAAGCATAATCCCATTAGAACCATTACGATGCACAAGCCAGTATCAAAATACTTTTGTTCAAGCGCCTTCTCTTGACAGTGATGCTACTTTGACAAGGTCCTTTTCTTCAGTTCATATCTTGACAATATATATTTCACAACATAAGACATAATTTTTAAAACTTGTAACAATATCCTATGTTCATCACCAGCAGGAATGTACAATATAAAATGTGCAAAGTTTGCATTACACATAGCTTCCACATTTGAGTCACATTTGATCAGATACAAAACCCTTTCCTTTAAGTAGTGTTCCCCTTTAGTCTTTCATGGGCAGCTCTGCCCATGTTATATGTGCCTTGAAACCAGCGGATAGTGTAGGAGCTTCATAAGTACTGTTAATATTTAGCAAGAAGCAGAAATCAGGACTCTGATGTGCTCTGGTCCTGTGAGGAAGATCGAATGGACGGGAGGCGATCTGCCACTTTGGCTCTTTCTGCTAAAAACTTGTCAAACTCTGTAAATGAGAAAGCAGGCGTTTATAGACACTTGACTGAGTTAAGAATACATTAATAAGAGCTGCAATTATTTTAAGAAACACTTCCCATCTATTCATGAGTCACCACATTTTTCCATTCTCATTTTTTGTTAACAAGTCATAGCTCTAGTTTTTTATGCCTAATCTTGTCTATGCCAATAGAAGAGAGTAACAAATGATGGTGGCTGCTGTTTTAAGAGGCAACTAAACTATACAACGCACTGGATGTCACACAAGGCATTATTCAAGCTACAATACCAATCCTTACTGTGACTATAGTGACTTCCACTAAGCTGTTGTATTCTTACCTTCACTGGTAACACCATCTGAATCTTCATAGTCGTCATACTACCCATAAAAAGAAAACACACTTGTTAAGAACAGCACAAAGGGGCTGTCAGTGTTTTATGTTTTACAAAGTACGTCAGGTCCATATCAGCGAACTTTACACTTGTTCATCAAATAAAAGTACAGTGCAGTAACACATTCAGAATAAGTTTGCAATAGAATTGATTGTAACCTCTGAATCAAACATCAGATTTATTTTTATACTGCACCAATACATCCTAACAAAATACAAGATAAAACCATTGTACTGTATGGAGTAAGAAAGCTGTCAGAAATATTTGTGTGCATGGGATAGAAATCTATGCATATTTGGGAAATCTGTGCATATTTGGCTGTAGTTGAGAGTAAAATAAATATTCTTAAACTCTCGAATGAGTCCAGTCATATGTAAAATATATCGTGTGTATTTTATCCATCAGAATACTAAATGAAAAGTTACAACATCAAGAATTACAATCACGAAATGAAAATGTATGATTACACTTTTTTCATTACAAATAAGAATTCACAGACACACCTCTACTGTCAAAAATACATCAACACTTCACAGGCATTATTTATTGAGCAGAAGAAACATTGATTGTTTTAATCCTGTTTTAGTCCTAGTTCTGTCCTGGTTTAAGTCCTCCTGGTTCAGTCCTGGAATCAGTCCTGGTTTAGTCCTGGTTCAGTCCTGGTTCAGTCTGTATGTGGCACAAAAGTCTGGCGGTTTCTTTTGCTGAATAAATATGCCTGTGAAGTGATGACATGTTTTTGACAGTAAAGTCGTGTGTGTGAATTCATATTCGTAAATTTTCATTTTGTGATTGTAATTCTTGATGTCGTAACTTTGCAATTCGTATTCCGATGGATAAAATACACACAATACATTTTATGTGCGACTGGGCTCATTCAAGAGTTTACAAATATTTATTTTATGCTCAAACAAAATATGCATGGATTTCCCAAATATGCACAGATTTCTATCCTATGCACACAACCATTTCTGAAAACTTTCTTACTCCATAGTACTGCCTAGGGATGGGCATGATTAATCGATTAATCGATAATTGATCATTAAGAATTTCATGGATTACGTTCATTTTAATCGACAAACCGAATGTAGGTTGCTGTGCGTAGCGTGACCAAACGGGTCCGTACATGTAGCTCTCTGCACTCAGAAAGAGCGAGCAAACACAAACAGTCGGTCAGTCTGCAGCGTATTTAACGATGACTTGTACAAGAAATTCCACGCTTTCCGTTGCGTTCGGGACAAGTGGGAGTCCATGTGCACAGTGTACAAAGCAGCACATATGTTTCGGTGTTCAGTGGGAAAAAATTTTGCCAGGTGAGAGTCGCGCAATGTCGATGACGAGGACCCACCTCCCTCCCCCCGTACAGTGTCCTGGTTTTGACAAACGCAAATATGGTCACACTAACCTGTATTCCACTGAGTCATGTCTTTTAATCCAACAGAAGTTGACCGCATCAGCGACACAAGAGCTGTACTTTTATCTTCGCTTAGTTTCTGCAAATTAGCGATGCGGTTTTAAGTTTCGTTTTTGTGAGAGTTGCGCAAAACTGCGTTAAACACATTATAATGTCAAACGGATTGATGTGGCTCTAGAGTCGTTACGGTTTATGTGTCGTAAAGTTGAATTTATGTATGCAGGTTAGTAGTGCAGATAGTAATAATAATGATGATCATTTTAATATAAACACGTTAATGATTAATCGATAATCGATCGTTAATTCTTCCGACGATCGATTAAGAAAATTTCATCGAATGCCCATCCCTAATACTGCCATAGATAAAAGCAAGAGTACACTTTCCTCCCACACTCTTTCTATTGTGCTTATTGGTGCAAAAATACTCACCTCATCTTCCAGTGAAAGCCATTTCTCAATATCATCCATAACATTTGCTTGGCTTAGGGGAATCTAAGTAAGAAGTAAATAACCAGCTTTAGAAAAAATTTAAGCACTTTGTACAAATTATGAAAACAACCACAAAAGTAAAAATCATACAAAATCATCCAACAGTGCAGATGTGTGGCAAAGTCATGCTTTCATGGCTAAAAACCCAAAGAATAAACACCACATTTAAAACATGCAGTTGCAGTACACATGCATCACTGTAAGATGAGTGAACAGAAAGCACCCAAACTAAAAGTAAATCATGAGAAGATGTGACTGAGAATACACCAGGCCACGCCACACAGTGTGAACAGACCCACCATTCCCCTCTTAATCATCCAATCTAACTTTGGGGAGGAGCTGTTGGTAGAAGCAGGGCTCTCATCCTTGGCGCAAGATAGAATAGAGATAGACAGTCAGCCTGATCAGATCTGACCCCATGCTAATCCATAAAGTAATTCATTGTTGATTTTTTTAGATGTCTAATCAGACTCCAGAAACATTGAAAGGTTTGTCTTCACTCTATGCAACTCCCAACCATAATTCTAGGAAAGGCTTTAGACAAATGCAGATTAGATAAGATTATGTATTTTTTCTCAGGGAAATCCACTGTTTGTGTTTGATATTAAGATGCATAACTCTGTATCCAGACTAAAAAAGTATCATTACCATTACTTTAATCCCATTTTGAGGTTTAGTTTACTGCCCTTCATTGGGATGTGTGCCCATAATAGACTTTAATGGTCATGGATTTCTTACTTCCTGTTTGTACAGTTAATGGGAACAAGAAACGCTGCTGTACGTCTTTTCTTCAATTTGTATTCTACAGAACATAAAAATCGAGTTCACTTTACCGTATATTATCCACAGACATTGAAAAGTGGATATAATTTATTAGACACAATGTTAGTATTACAAAAGTCAGAAAGCACAAAATCAACCATAGTTAGTGTAAGTGCTGATACTGTATCTTGTGACTAAGATTGTAAAAGGGCATGACTGCAAATATTATGGTAGATTTACTTACAGCTCCACTTGGATGTAGTCGACTGGCATGAGTCAAGGCATCAACTGCAACTTCACTCTGCTCACTAAAAAAGAAACAATAAAGTTTTTTTTTCCTTGCCAAGATAACATTCTGCTGGTACAGTAAATTAGCCACAGCCGTCTGAGTTACTTCAGCCTTCAGGATATAATTACCTTGTTCTGTGCAAAAGTGCATTTAGGTCTTCTGCTTCACTTGTGCCTAGAACAAAGATTATAAGGTAAAATTGTGCTTAATTGACATTAGTGGTTTAAAATGCAAGTAAGAGGTGTACATACTGAGTCTAGCCATCTGCCCACACAGACTGCCGGACTGTGATTGGCTGTGGGAGCTGTCACTCTCTGCAGACGCTGCTCCTGATTGGATACCTGACTCAGGCGTGAGGTTGAGGTCTGCAAGGTTGACATATGTGCTCCTGGAAAAAAAGACAACACAAACTGAATACATTTAAAGACATACTAACACACAAGTGGGCACAGTCTCACAATAGCTCACAAAATGGGAATGTATTTTTACCTTTTGTGTTTCATGTTGTCCATTTGTTATTCTCCTTTCAAACCTGAAAAATGAATAGCCTCCTTAGTTACAGTAACACATATGTTTTGAAAAAAATGGTGGATAGTGTAGTCTTTGTTGGACCTGTGGTATCGGCTAAAGGCAGTATTCATCTCATCGTTGGTCGCTAACAGCTCTTCAATCAGCTTCTCCTCACTCAAACGGGGCACCACCTTCACGATCCTCTCCTGCATCTCCTTACAAACACTGTACAGCTGCTAATGACACAATAACAAAGCATGTGTGGGCGGGGGGGCGTTGGCAGGTCGATGTGACACAGTAGTATGATATGGAAGATCAGTTAAGGGAAGAGAAGAGTGAAGTGATAGAACAGCAGGCTGAAGATGAATATTTGTGGTAATACCTCCAGTAGCTCCATGTCGGCCTGTTTCACTGTGACAGGATCTAACTGACTCATCATCTCAGACATGGTGGTCAGGTTACTCCTTACCACTGCCAGCTCAGTCTTCAGCTGCTGCACCTATACAAGCACATTGAATCCGTTACAGTAGAGCAAAAACTCTGACAGACAGACTGAGCCATAGGCTGGTAAAATACTAAAATTACCCCATGCATATATGCTATTTGAATAAAAGCAAAAAGATGACAGCTTGAAGAAGTCAGTGTAGTTAAAAGGACCAGTGTTTACAAATTGCAAAGTTGCCAAAAAGCTGTGGCTGTTATATTGATGTTCTCTCTGATACAAAAAAGAAATGATTGATGACTAAAATCTCACTAGAATTATTGCACAAATTGGTTCAAACTGCCACGAAAAAAGACTTTCAAGGTGTGAAAATCTTATTATTCAGTATTCAGAGCCTATTAGTTTTGTAGTTTAACACAAAATACCCTAAACTAGCATAATCTGTCTTCTTTAAGTGTTTTTTAAATCTTCTTGCAACAAGTATACATACATTACAGTAAATTTATTGTATAATAGTCTACAAATGTGAACCAGTGAGAGAGAAAAATGAGAAAAAGAGCTCTGGCTTTATAGTCTCAACAGCAAAAACCCTCTATCCCCCATTAAAGCTGAGAGTGAAAAGCAGAGGTGAATAGAGAAAGCCCTTCACCTGGCTGGGTGTGTAGGCATTATTTTCCTCTTTGGCGTGTTTGAGCTGAATGCTCTGTGGTTGCTGCAGTGGGAGTTTGGTGGATATAAGACCAGCATGCAGAGTAGTGACAGTAGGCCCATTCCCCGGAGAGGTCTGGCAAAGGTCCCCAAGAGAAGAAAAGATTTACAAAACTACAGTATCAGCACAGAGAGTGAAAAAGAGGAAGCCATGTTTTCACCTCCTTGTGATTTTGGCGTGAGCTGTATCCTTCCAGCTCCACTGACGGAAACTCGAGTCCTTTTCTACGCAGGTCTTCATACACAGAGACCACACCTGTCAAGTCGGGCGAGCTGCGGAATGCATCAGCCCACGCCTAAACACACAAAACCACGTCTCATTCATACACTCTCAAGTGCTATGACATAATAGATATCTATATATAAGGTATGTATGTATTTATACCTGAATAATGCCGAGAACTCTATCATGAAGCACTGCAGGCGGGTTATTTCTAGGGATTATTGACCGGACCAGAACACCCTCTATAAAATCCCTTGTGGTGACCAGGATGTGAAACCTGTAGCCACAGTTTTTTACACACGTTTCTAAAACCTGAAAAAACATAAAGTATATAATGCCAGATAGTAGATAACAGTAAGTGCCAAAAATAATTCTAATAAGATATTTTATTTAATTGTTTGTTGTTTATGTTTCACTCAACCTATAGTAAAAAGTTTTAGCTTTTTGGGTATACACCAGGTAAAGGATTTTATAGTATCCAGTGAATTCCCAACTCAATTTCCTTGTTGATGGGTACAGCTGAATTGTTTGATCAATGAATGTAACTCACAGTAAGTGTCATCATAACCTCCTTAAAGTTTTTATTTCCCACAATTCTCTTCTTTACGGCTCGGACAGCATCTCTTGGCCTGGAATGAGAATATTATCTAATTGATCAGTCTCAAACTGATAAACTTATGGTCATAAATAAATCGAGAAGCCCACCCACCCTTCCTCTGCAGTGTTCACTACATCACAGATCTCCATGTTCAGGGCCCAGTCTTCTGAGGGCAGGCTGGAGCTGGTGGCCTTCTCTGTGGGGAAGACAAATGTGCCAGTGTTATTGTAGTGCTGAGGAATATATGTTTAAGGCAAAGTCATATGATATTACACTGCACTATGTGAAAAGAAGAAAAAAAAGACCAGAAAGTCTCGTACTCAAAAACGTGCTTATTCTGACAACACAAACGTGACAGGTGCATAAAATTGTTTCTAAAATACAAATGCACTGTTTTAGACTGACCTGTCCGAGTGTAGTTAGCTCTTTTTGCAGAATGTTTTCTATAGATTTTAAACATAGATGATTTACTCAATAGTTTTATTTTGGAAATATCTACAAAACTTGAGATATTATCAAATTTTCAATATATCTCTCACTTCTTGTTGGTATGTAGTAAGTCTGCAACTAACAGTAATTTAAGTCAACCATAGTTACAAGTTATTGTTTTGATAAATTCCATTGTATAATTAAGATTTTTTGTTAATTCTTGTTTGACATGTTGATTTAATAATGCTGCTATCTTATATGTGTTTTGGCATGGCTATAGTATGTAACCAGATTGTTTTTATGTAATTACTGAATGTCATTTAGGCTGTATTCCACTGAGTCTGAAAAAGAAATTGCTGCATTTTAGATAACAAATCATGACTCTATCTCCTGCCAGACAGTTACACAATTTAAGGCTGTTGCATTCCATTGACAGCAAAGAAAAAACACTGGGTCATAAATGAAATACAATCAAATATATTCCTGACAAATATAATAAAGATGGTTGACTTTCAGTGGCCATATGATAATTAGAGCAAACTTGGAGTCATTATACATCAACAGATACCTGCACACTGAAAAGGAAATACTGGAGAAGAGTATATAATAATATGTACTGGATGTACAGGAATGAGTTGCTTAGTCAGTCGGAAACAATAATTGATCTGTTGGGACTGCTGAAATGGAATAAGCTGCAAGCATTTACATAGTCCCTTTATACAGGCAGGAGGGTTCCGGGCGATAAGAAACTGGTGATGATGTGAAATTGGCCCATTCACCCTTCACCATAGAGTATACAGCTGAGCAGGCTGAAAGAAGAGGAGACTAAAGTTGTAGTTTCCGAGTGGACATCAAAACTTCAATCCTCTGTGGGATATATGAACAGCCCCTGATCACAACCACTGGACAGGGTCATGAATGCAGCTCAGCAAACATGTTTACAATGGTCCAGCTTCTTACTACACACCCATACCATTATTATTATTATACAGGCCTACTGCCATTTGTAATGATTAAAGTCACCAACAATGAACATTTACAAAGATATTTATTTCTTGTTTTATTTCTCTTTTTACCGATGGGCAGTGTCGAGAATGTGAACAAATATAAGTCTGTCAGTGGTTATGTCCATTGCTGCTGTCACTGTATCAAAATTCAACTTTCTCACACGGAAAAAAGGAAATGTTTTAATTTGGTGAATGTGGACAACTAGGTTATAGCATCTTCTAATGGCGTATCTGAGGAGACTTGAGGTCTGATTCAGCTACATCGGGATATTATTTTTTGCTGTCTCTCTCTGTCTATTTTTCCTCGTAATCTAAATACCATAATGGCGTTTACCATAGTCATGAGGCGACATGATGCCAATAACAATCTAATTTGGGTCAGGAGGATGCAGACCACTTTGTCCGCCCACTATTCGCCGGTAAAGTGGTCTATAATAGCCAGCCAATCAGCGTCGGAATAACTGTCTTTAAGGCCCGCCCACACCTGGTACCGCAATGTCATTGAGTAGCTGCCACGTCAATCAAAGTATAAGCCGACGCGCCTGTCGGGGTTTTTCTTATATTTTTCGGTATTTTCAATTAACTAGAATGATATACATTAATTAAAAACGTTCAAATGTAGTACAATAATCGAATAAGCCCCAATCATTGGGATACAGAAGCAAAATGTCGCTGAAGATGCTAACTCAACATCTCGTTTATTACAATGTAACGCTAAGCTAAGCCCAGCTGGATGTTTCTTACCGATGAGCTGGCCCACCGGAGTGCTGAAAGGGTTGCCCAGAAAGAACTCCATGATGATGGCAGTAAGGACCCAGCTTTGCACCGATCTCCCCGGGCCACGCCGCCGAGAATCAAGCCCACGTCTCCCGCCGCCGCTGTCCTCTGCTGCGGAGACCAGACTGCCCCGCTCCGCCCGTAAGATACAACAAAGTGGGCCACTAGTTGAGCTGCGTCACTTTTTAAAGGGAGAGGACCCTTGAGTGGAGTGGGCTGTCAATATCCTATTATTGATCAAATTACACGAACCACTCTGGCGCTAATGAGGTGGACATGAATCCCAATTTTATAGCCTGACATAAGCCCTCAAATAAAGGTGTAGCCACTGCATACACCTTGGTTGCATAACACTGTGATGGTTAGTCTGGGTGATTCAATCAAGCCTGACTGTCAACATTTTGACCCGACTGGTTCAGTCAGTTTATCTTGATGGTAAACACAGTTTTATTCACGCTGTTAATAGGTTACACTGTGTTGCTAGGTCTTGTCGTGTTTATTATAAAATATTGAGCATATTATCCTAGGCCATAGCCTACAGACCTTCCTAGTCTTACTAACAGGCTTTTTGTTTGGGAAGGCAAGCTTTGTTTGTAGTCTGTTTAAAACAGGGAAGCCTGTAGGCCTATCAGGTCTGAGTCTTCCATAACGCTTAACTTAAGAGTTTTAACTACTGCATGTTAATTAATCTTAACCAAACGGAATAAAAATAGCTGTGCTTGAAAGTGGAATTTGCAGAGGTTCAAAGTTTCAAAGTTTTCATTTGACTACATGGGTGCATTATGTAGCCTTTAACACCTGAAGTAGCCTACCAGGTAATTCATGTAAAAATGCATGTGAATCCCCTTCAACTACAACAAATCATTACTAGCCTACACTAGTTCTTAGTCTTACACCAAAGGAAGTGCATGAAGCATTGATATTATTCCTGTGATTTGAAATAACATATTTTCATATTTCATAATCATATAGAAACAAATAACTAGTAATTGGTAGTAATTTAAAAACCATCAGTAAACCTGAATTAAACCTGTACGCTAAGCAGTATTTCATTTTTATCTAACTGTATATTAAGAGTTTGTAGCATAGGTTTATGTCTTTGTTGATTGCTATGAGGTCAGTGGAGAATTTAGTCTTTCAGAGTTCTTGCAAATAATCTTCATCTGGCTCTTATTGTCATCCACTCCTCTACTTGACGCGTCTCTACTGCACAAATATAAGAAAGTAGTTTCTGGACCTCTCAAAGAAAGCAGCAGTCAGGCTCAAAAGGAGGCCCGTGTTAAGGGTGTCAGTGCATTGTGTCTGAAGCTGGAGAACTCTTTAGTATGAGAAGCACAAATTAACCAACTTTGAATTCCCAGGCTCTTAACTGCAATGAAAAGACAAACTATATAACTACTTCCCGGTTTCTTTCCTCTTTCTGGTGTGAATGATTTATGTTTGTTTTTGTTTTGTATCTAAATGTAAAGTTAATTTTCCCATGATTCTACATGTTTTAGGTTCACAGACACATGGAGAACATGCAAACTCTGCACAAATAGGCCCAACCCAGTCCCGGGACCTTCTTGCTCTGAGGTGACAGGTGAGCATTGCCACTTCAGATTTTTTTCACCAAATATTAATCTTGTAAGCTTTTTCTGCATCACCAGTGTTTTCTAATAGGAAGCACATTAAACATTAAAATATTCAATTGGTCAAGTAAAAGGACATTCCCCGAAACTCTGTGTCTGTGGGAACTTGCCATGTATTCACTATAGTGTCCAATTAAAGAGGGTTGACAGGGACTTTTCTATTCACAGTGTGGAGCTGGCTGATTAGCTTCCTCTGCCACAGAATTACACAGAGCCCATAACAAAGAACAGGTCGGCTGTGACAGGATTTATTAGCTATTGAAGAATATGAGCTGTAACTTTGTGTGTACAAGGCAAACATAAGTGAAAATGGAGTGAGAACAAAACAGCAGTTCATCATAATGTCAACATTGTTTTAATCAAAAGCAATATAATAAATAATAAATAAATAAGTCAAATGTGTAGGACAATAATTCTAAATAGGCTTATTAGGAAAATTAACATCTACATTGATTTCATCCTTGTCTTTTCCTGCACACCTCTAACAGCATTCATGGCGGCAGTCGTTGATGAACTAAAGCTAATACTGGACTTACATCATAAATAAATAAATATGCATAAGCAGTAAGACAGATAGTTACAAATAACAGTACACATCTATACCATTTATAAATATCATTGTGTAGTACATAGTGTAGTTGCCATAGAGATGCTCATACGTTACTTGTGGCAATCATGAATATTTAATCAGACATGTCAGGGAACAGCTGTTTGTGGTCAGTGCGCTGTCCTGCAATGCAATATCGTGGTATTCCCCAGGAACTAGAGCCACAGGCATGGCCATGGCTGTAACTACAATTTCAAAACCTTGTGAAAAAGAACATAAGGCAACAAACAGAACCAAGAACACTGAAACACATCTACCAAAAAATCTTCCAAATGCTGATAAAAGTCGAAGCACCATGGGTTTTTATGGGTATTTATGTCATAATTTGTATAACTAAAACCATTTTGCCACTTTATGATAGGCAGCTGAGCACATAGGACAGCTCCACTAATTTTCATATAATCTCATGAAACTAGTCATAAAGGAGGAGAGGAGGAGGAGCCCTGAACAGTACATGAAGTCTGTAAATACTACATTATCAAGTCAAACAAATATGGTACAACTTATAATTATTATGTAAGTAATAATTATAAGTTGTGGTGTTACATGACAGAGCAGTTGAGCCCACAGCAGTCCTTGAGCAGTGTTAGTCCAGTTTTGGTGAGATAAGGGCCAGGTTTTGGATGAGACTGTGGTGCTACCTGTTGATTTTGCAGAGAATGATCTGAGTGACAAGCAAAAAAACACAAGTTAAAACATTTTTGTTTCTTGATGCAGATTGTTCAAAATGACTGACTTACTCTTTTTAGCTAATGTTTTTGTAAGTTTAGACTGTAAGAAGGCAGCCATTTCTCTGTCTTCTTCTCTTTCTCTGTTGTAAGGAAAATGGTTTAATGTAAAGTGAAGAAAATATAAATACTGTATTATTCAGAGTATTGAGGTTATGATTGTGTATGTTTTTTTTATTTTGCTAGTTTGGAGTAAAAGGTGCAACCAATGGTAATTGATAGAGAGAGAGGGAAACAAGCATTCAACAAAGAGGGTCTCATTTATCAAGTAAAATTCAAACTAAATTGGTACCTGAGCCTCTCAAACTCCACATCCTCCACAAGGAAGTCCCGTGTCTCCACCAGTTTGTGGATCTGCTGCAGAAGTTCCTCCTCTCTCTCTCTGTTCTCACTGGACTTTGCCTCTTCTGTCAGATAAGGACAATATGTGTCACCAACACTCATCGGCCAGTGTTTATCAGTGTTTTTATAATTTTTACACTCACTTGGTTTCATTTTAGTAACATTAATAGTAAAAACTTCTATAATAGCTTTAAGTTTTGAATAAAACATGAGGGTCAATTAAGGCAGCACCTTAGCAATATTGATGCCAAAAGTGTAAATATAAACTCGGCAGTTTTCAGAAAAGTGCAGCATTCTTGATCTTTGCAGTTACCACAGCAACCGTCATCTTTAACGCAGAGCAGTGAGGAATTTGTGGGAGTATATCCAGGGAAAAAAATATAACAAACAGGTTTAAGTCCCAAGTCACACTACCAACCAGGGAAAGGTTAATTAATTCTAACATGTAGACATCTGCCTTAAAATAGAATATCTAAAACTGACCTGGAATTGAGATAATCTTCTGCAGCTCTTTCTTCAGTCTGGTGATTTCTCTGCAGAGCTGAATATCATCCATCCTGAATGAAAAGAAAAGGGCACGTACTTGGATGTAATCATTAAATACACATTAATAGTAAGTTTTTAGACCCACTTATATGAATCTGCAAGTCATGTTAGTGCATTTTAAAAGTAGCTTGACAGTGGTTTAATATCATCAAATAGCCCAACTAGTAAAAACACACATTAACCACATTACTCATCAAGCACAGGTCTTAGCCTATTATATATAAGGCAGTTTGGAGTCAGCCAGGTGTGCATTCTATATCTATGGTCAGAAATAAAGTTCTCTCAGTATAACTTCTATATAATGGACCACAGCACAACATCAAGTCTCATTTTCTCTTACTCTGTTCTCCATCCAGTCACAGACATCACACTTAGCGGTATGGGATCATAGGTAATTTTGCACTGGTTTAACTTTCAAACATGTGCCAAATACTAAACATCTAGACATTAGACATAGGCAACGCATAAAAAAGTAAAAGTACATGTATCTGAGCTCCGACTCTCTGCGCACCAGGATGTTTTGTATGCGCTCAATTTTAGACAGCTCCCCCTCAATGTCCTCGATGGTGATAGAGCAATCAGCCATTGACACCACATCTGCTGGAATACAACAGACATGTCAAAACAAAACACAGTGTATAGCCTATATCACTGTACTCAACAGTTTGATTGACATGGAAATAATAAACCACATTTCTTTCACAGATGTGTGTCACATGTACAAACTATGGCACATTTTCACGCCTGGCGAAACAGTGGCTCCTCTCAAACCAAACCTGCACCCATAGTGTGGACTGATGAGTGTTTGATGACTGAAGAGAGAGTGATGCTCTGGAGTGAATGAAATGAATGATGCTTTTGATAAGGATGATGGTTTTAAGATGCTGAGAGAACTGGGAGTGAATGATGATACAGAATTGTTATGATGCTCTGCACATTATAAAAACATTCTCTTTGTATGTTTGATTTTATGAACTATAACATCAACCTGCCCAGGGACTACAGGTGGAAATTAGCACTGGCGCTATAACCTGGTACAATGCATCTCTCCTGTTAAGGTTAATGTATATTGTGCACTGTTCATGTCTCTTTAGATAAATAAACTAAACTAAACTAAACTAGATAATAATATCACGAGCCTACAGACTTTACAGTATAAGAATGAATGACATCCTCCTCTCCTCAAAATGAGTTATGCAGCACACAAGACAAAGGTTTTCAATTACCATCACACACAGTCACAGTTTGCTTTGTATTTATGCCCAACCCACCAACAACATAGCACTACAGAGGAGTACAGTAGACATAGTTATACCACATTCAGATCAGATTTAATTCAAATTTAGCCACATAAGCCATAATTGCTCAAAAGAACAAAACACAAGTGTAAAGAGACCAGTCACTAGGGCAAATGTTAAGAAGAAAATCTTTGAAATGGCTACAGTAAAATAAACTGAAACTATTGTTAGTGTTTGTGGTCTGGAAACAAATGCTCACACACAACCTTAGTTCACATCGAGACACTCACCTGTTTTCACATTATGTGCGTCCACCTTCTTCTCCAATGAGACGCACTGTTGAGAGCATATGCTTACATCCATGTAGCCAGATTTGTTTTTTGTTTTTTTTCTTTATTCAGTCTGTCACTGAACAGACCAAAAGACTGATAATTATTCAGATGTGGCCAAACCCGTATGCTCCAAGACCGTGTTGCATGTCGCTGATGCTCCACCGAACCCACCGCACTGAACTGGACCACGAACCTGCACGACTCACAGAGGAACTGAAGCGCCCCCTACTGGAATCAGCGATGAACATCAAGTCAACCTCGTGTTCCTGTAACATATTCAACCAGGCCTACTTCATTGGTTCACATGTAACACAGAGCATTAAAAAAAAGTTACTATTTATTTGTTGTTATAAAGCCCTAACACACTTGAGTAAAAACTACTGTAAGCTCTCAATATCACTAAAGTAGCCTACTAAGGTAATATCTTAGTGATATTGATGCAAATGGTGAAAACTTAAACTTGGTAGATTTCCGAAAACTGCAGAATTCTTGATTTGATCCCAGCAACAGTCTGTACCGCAGACCAGTGATCTGAACTTAATTGAAGGGAGGAATTTGAAGGTGTAATTTTCATCCAAGCCGACCTTGTGTTGCTCTGACATATTAAATGAATTTACTGGTTCAAATGTAAGACACGGCATTATTTCTTAGTGCAATAATAAAACAAAATAAAATGTATTATTTAAAAATCACATCAATTATAAGCCCAACTATTACCATATGGTTTATTTGTAGTGTCAATAGAAACACATTTTATTGAAACACGAGCACGCTCAAATCCAAACATCACATGTTTATTCAGCATATAAATATTCCCTTGTATTTTGAAAGATCTGGACTTTGGTTTTGAATAGTATAGTAAATAAGGAGTCATGTGACAGCAGTATTCATTACTGTTATAGCTTCTTCCAGCAGGTAGCAGCATCACACACATTTTAACTTACATTTACAACAAACATAAACAAATAGTCTTAAGGCAACAACGGTCAACAGGAATCTTGGCAAGTAGAGGAGAGGTTCATTATTTCATCTTCTTCTTCATGTGCTATATCGATATGGGTCACATTTTCGACACATGAGATTAAGGGTGTGGTATCCCCTTGAGCACACTTCAGTTGTTTGCAGGATTTCCAGTTAGGATAGCCTGTCCTATCCTGTTACCTTGTTTGCATTGGAAAAGAATAACTTATGCTAATGCCTGTTTATGAAAAAAAAAAAAAAAAAAACACTCTCTAATCTGCCTGCCCATCTGAGCACTTGGCTCTTCACCAGCCTAATAAGGCAGAAATAAAACTGTAATGAGAGCTGAAAGTCAACACACTGTCAGGCTGAGCAGGTGTACATAAATGATAGAGCTATTTATTACTTTATATTGTTTTCAATTAAGGTAATTTTTCTTTGTGTGCCCATGCATGCATTATTTCTAACATATGCATGGATAAAACTACTGAAATAAAATAAATTACACAATATTAACCCTTGTTCGGGTTACTTAGGCCTGATGATGGCAGTCTTCTGCATTCTATTGGTCAAATGGTTTTAGTTTTAGCTTCAGTGGTATATCCTTCTGCCACTGTTATTATTGCTTTGATCATCCTCTATGGCTTTATCTAACCAGTCTCTTTCCTGTTCAGATTCAGACTCACTTGCTTCACTTGCATCAGCTGCCAGCAACCTAGAATAGTTTATTCTTCTCTGTCTAGGAGCTTTGACCTGAAGTAGAGCCAGAACAAAACACCACATTATCAGCCCGAGTGCTGCTCCCCTGAACATCCATGCAATGCCAAACTTTTGCACCACTGCTCCTCCTATGACACTTCCCAAAGCTCGCCCCAGGTCCAAAGACAAAGCACTGTAAACTCTAGCAACGCTCCTCTCAGTCCCTGGTGTGGCAATGTCATCACACTGGACCTGGACAGCCCACCACAGACCCCCAAAGCTCAGAGTATTCAGAATTTGGGCAGGAAGGACAGCCCAAGGTCCCCAAAGGAATGAAAAGTAGAGACATTGTACTGATACAATTGTTGCACCAAGGACCAACACCCTCCCAGAGCTAAGAATTTTTGATACTTTAACTACAAATAAAGGGAATGAAACTTGGGATATGAGCCCAAGTGCCAACGACAACCCCATGTGTAGTTCATTGCTTCCATTGTCCTGCATTTCCCAAAGCAGGAAGTTTTCCACAGTTGAAATTACTATTCCAACAAGCAAAATTGTAGTGGCGCACAGCACAGCACGGACAGATCCACGTACCAACTGCAGTCCTTTGACCAAACCATCAGGCTTGGTTCTCTTCTTGTTGAGATAGAAAGGTAGAAAACTTGCAATGGGCACAGTCCCAAGAGTGATGATAGAAAAACAAACAAAATGCACCACGCTCCTTGGAGTCTCAGCAGCTAGGAGACAGCTTAACTGACTTACAAAAACTCCAGATCCACAAACCCCAAATGCTCCCCCAATTAAACTCCATGTCTTGGAATTACTGTAGCGATCAGCAGCATCTGCGAAATCCAGGTATTCAAAAAGCCCGTCATCTGCAGTCCACTCTAATGGAGCAAGCGCAGCCGTTAATACAGAAACAGCTATGAGAATGAGGAAAAATAATTGGTGATGATTGTCCATTTCTTTTAAGCTGTCAGAATTGTTGTCTGTATTGCCTGTTAATTTGGATTGTTTATCAACATTGCCTTCTAGTCTGACGTTAGATTTCCTTTTCTTTATTGCTTCTATTTTTGGAACAGATGTGTTATTTTTTGCTTCCTTAAGTGCGATAGGTACTTCCATAGATACATTGCTGGAACTGGCACTCTTGAAATTTCCAAGACTTGTCAAACTAGCTGACATTTGTTTTCCATCTGTTGAGCTTTGTGTTGGATTAACCAGTGAAATGCTATTATTGCATCTTATTTTGTGCACATCTGCAGGTGGGATAACTGGAATAACAATGGCAGCAGTAGCAGAAACCACCAGACAGCTGTTGACCAAAACTCTCCTCTTGTTGTAGTGCTTGGAGAGCAGACCAGCAATGGGGCTCCATGCTAGTGTTATGGCATGCTTGGTGCCCATCACAAAACCGGTTTCTGTGGGGGTGAGGCCAAGGTGGCGGAGGTAGAGTGTGAAAAAAGGAAGAAGACATGCTTTGGCAGCTGAGATGAGGAAGTTGAAGGCACCAGCCAGAGCCAGAGCACGGGACACGTTGATCTGTTTGTTCCTCCGCATGCTGGATCAACTGATGAAACAAGAGGCACAGTTGTCACTCAAAAATAAATAAATAAATAAAAACACCTTAATTAGAGCACTTGTGTCAAATAAAACCACCACGGAGGTTCAATGTTAATATGATTTTTTTGCCTGAACACTTATTATAGGGGAACTAAAATATGAATACTACTGTGAACTTCTAAAATACTTTGATGTTACCTGTCTAACAGCAAAACCTGTACAAAAAGTTCGCAAAATAACTACATATGCACACTCAAGTAGGCTATGTGTGCCCCATTCTCTACAGCAAATTAATTTGGTTATACTTCGGAGAGGTGACAGGCGCGTATGATGCTCCTTGCAAATTGGACAAGTGATTATTATTCAAATAACTAGTTTTGTGTTGGTGTAGGATGTAAAAATGGGCAGACATACGCTGCCCACACTACTGCGAAGCACGCGGAACCTAGAGTCGTTTACACCTGTCACCTGCCCCCGTGTTTATCTGCAGATAAAGTCCACGTCATGTTACATCACAGAAAATATTTTATTTTGATGATAGAAGTCTTACCTTTTACTAGTTAATTCATATGAACTTTGTCGTGCTCATTATCCATTTGGTTCCATCACAACCAGTCATTTGTACTTTCATTAACCTCTCCACACCTGCGTCTGCCACATGTACCTGTACCACTGAACTGTACAGTCAGGCTACACTCAGGCGACTCCTGCCCTAACACAGAGTGCTGTAAAGCGCCCTCTCATGTTTAGGAGGCAGTAGATCCATATGAAAGAGCACAAAAAAACAAAAAACAAAAAAATCCACCTAGTTTTTATTCTTTATTTCAGACAAGTATAAAGACGAAAACATATGAATTATCCACATAAGCTATTTACAGAGATCACATTCAAGTACTTTCATCAAGTTTAATTAAGTTGTATTTGTGATCACGTGTTTATTTAACATACATACATGGGCTTTTATTTACTTAAATCCATAAAATATTGTTGAGTAGCAGATGGGCTGACAATATTTAAAATGGTAATGCACAGTATGTAAGTATTCTGCAGTCTTTCAGCTGGTCACTCCACTGAAGGTGTTGATTGGCAGTGATAAGATTTTGTCCACGTATTTGCTCAAAGGCAGGTCTTTGGTTATGCTCATGGAAAATCTGGTCCGGATGTTACACCCTGGATCCACATAAGGCGACACTTCAATCCTGGAGAGACATCATAATAAACCAACAGACTACAAAACATACAGTACCTAGCACTGTGGAACTGATTAGTACCTTTGGATGTTACTATATGTCCTGCGGAAGTCCTTATCCAAACAAACCACCAGTGTCCGATTTTCCATTGCTTTGATGCTAATGGTTTTAGTGAAGATCTTCTATTCACACAACAGAACAATAAGTCACTATTCACTAATGCAAATATCTCAGAGGCACAGACATATATTTGTATTGTGTAATTTAAAGAGAAAATCAACTGTGGGACATTCAGAGTGACAAGAGGGTTAAATTCCACCAACAACAGTGATGCTGTTGATTTTGGGTATTTATGAGGAATAGCAGCAGTTCAATTGTGAGGTCCTTACTGTGTTCTCCTCTAGGTTCACAGAGTTAAATCTGACACCAAGGTATCCTTCACCTGAATAACAAGCCCAGTGAATTAAAACAATGCATTTAACAAATACAACCACTACACATCTCCTTAAATGATATTAACCGTGTGTTACAGAAGGCTCAGAGGTGATGACCGCACTGCACGCCATTGGACACACTCCTTTCAGCTGCTCACGTTTACTCACAAACACCTTGCATCACAAGAAAACAGAAAAAGAAAAAAAACATTATAGGCAAATAATTTTATTTGAGAAAGCAAACACAAAAAACTTACTTGTGTGTAACTGACTGACATGACGCCTCCAAATACTTCAACTGACCTCTTTCTTCGATTGTATGATTCTGTTAAAACAGCTTAACTTTAGTTTGCACATAAGGTAGAATAAAAGTAGAATAAATAGGAGTCAGAGGAAAGTAGAAAAAGACTCACTGGCACTTTTGTCTTTGAGATGTTTAAACTCGGCCACGTCTGCCTCCAGGCTGGACACAAACACCTCCTCTATGACTGAGCTCACTTCATTACTGCGCGTCATCTGAGAAAAAAAATAGTGAACCTCAGTTGAAAAAACACTATAGTAGCTTTATTATTTAAAATAGCAATCTTGAATGCCATAAAAATTGCACTTAGCCTGCACTCGTACTGTTTAAAAAATGTATTACAATCACTACTGTGCCTGGGTTACCTGTGCCTAAACCTGCCCATGGAGCACACAACTTTTTCACGTTCTCAGCAAATGCACAGGCCATGAAAGTTCAAAACCTCCAGAATCTACTCAGTGAGCTGCAGAGACTGCACTAGCACTGATTAATAATTGGCTCCATGCCTTGGGCTTTAGGTAGTGATGATTCAGATCAGAGGCATTGTAGGTTTAAACTGACAATCCAAATAATGACAGTTGTCATGTGAGATTCATTCTGCTTTCTGACTAGATAATCGTCTTGAGAACCAAAACACCAAATTCTAACATAAATCATGCCCATTGCTTTTACAACTAAGGATAAATCAGCATTAGAATTGTACAAATTAGTACAAGCCATGCATATACTTTATTTAAAGTACAACAAGATATATTTATTCCTTAAAAGATGAGTTGTCCTATTAACAAATATTTGTAGACTATTCAGAATGTACTGAAATCAAAATAAATATGACTGAATTTAATCTGTTTTTATTTATTTAAGATTATGTTTTATGTAGTGGGTTAGAAAGTTTGATGTTTTGCTTTATTATCACTTTGGATCCCAGATCTGTGCCCACTGTGGAATTATACCACCTATTTGATCTACAATAGCTAAGCTTAATCAATACTTATTTATTTTGAGGATATTCTTACCATAACTTTGTAAAGTGGCAGGTTAACCTTCTGTATTCCACAGCGTAAATAGTAATTAAGAGTGTCCAGAAAAAAGAGGTTCTGCTCTGATGGTTTGTTGTGATTCGTATTCTGCTGAGACAGGTATACATCATACAGTAATGTATTTACATTCTTAAAACACAATCACTTTAATCAATTATTACCATTCCAGCAGTTCTGGGCATGGCAGATTGGAGGATGTTGATATTGACGTCATACCAGGAATCCACTTTTCCCAAAAAAGAAGCGATAGATAGCCTGGCTTGCTCTGTGGTGTTCTGAGAAGAGTGTCACTGTCAGGAAATGTTGTGTCTATTTCAACATCTACTTCTTTTCTGGAGGAAACTCACAGGCTGCAGAGGGACAGATGCCTCTACATCAGTCACTGGAATGTAATAGAACTGCAAATTGATCTTCTTAGTAAGCCTTATGTGCTTGGACTCCTTTTCCCTGTTGGAAAGACCAGAATAATTTAGTTCAACTAAATGAAAGGTGAATGTATTAACAGACAAAAACTCAAAAATTATATATCAGGTTATGAGAAATCATGCCAATGGTTTCCCAAGGTATTTGAGACTTGAAAACTGCTGTCTGACCGAATGCTGCAGTACGCACTGGCCAGTTTCCCCAGGATGCGGTCATCTCCCATGACAACGATGCGGGCCGTGTGGCTACGCTGCTCTCTGCTGGAGGAGGAGATAGTGGAGGAGCTCTCCATCTTCTCGTCCATCAGACTGAGCTGGTTGCCAGGTTTGGTGTCCTTAAAAGCATTCCTCCTCTTGGAAAGGTTGCTCATGCTTCTCTGAGGAATCTGGGGAGGTCCCTTGTTGAGCTCCTTCAGGTTCTTAGACTGCACTGATGCACGCTGGCTTTTGTCATCGATGTCAAAGCTGGATCTCAGAGTAAAGGTTGTAAGTGCATTCCCTGGGAGGAAAATAATGACAGCCAATAAAATCTGAGCCAAACCAAGACTAAGAACGTCCATCCATGGATCTGCTTCTGCTTCATTATGGTCAATGTTTGCTTCATCTTTCCATCACTTGTGAACAAAATAATTCCCCCTGGAGCAGGAGCCTACATTTTCCAGCTGAAAACCATAACCTCAGATTTTAAGGTACAAATTTTATTCTTAGCCACACTCAGCTACAAACCACCCCAGTGTATGCCAAATGTCCCAGTTTGATGAAGCCATCAGGACATTATCTACAAACAGCAGATATCCTGTGGTGTCAAATAAACACATTTTCCAGAGGCATTACATTGGCCTATTTGTTACTTGCTCTGTTGTGATTGGTTACTAGCAGTAACCAGTAGTACTTTCAGAAAGTCTTTATAGTAGGTTTTACTGTTGGATGAGAGACTTACACAGATCCTCTTCATCGTTCCACAGAATGAAGTTGATTTCAGGGTAAGGCATGGTGATGGGGTAAACAGTGTTGTTTTCATAGCCTATTGCTGATAAAAAAAAAAGAAAAGTAAAACAAGTAAATATATTGTCATATACAGTAATATAGAGTAGCCTCACCTTTGTCACAGGATGTCAAAACTTGGGTGTAAATCATTTGCAGATGGTCAATGTAGTCTCTCCACCCCTCAGGGCCTTTCTGCACGCCCTGCTCCACTGCAAGAACAGTCTCCTGGAAGATGGCCTCCAGACTCTGCTCTCCTAAGCTCTGGGACAGTTATGGAGTAGTATACCATGGCCCAGCATCTTTTATAGCAGAGATGTTATTAAAGAGGCAGAGATGCTTACCTCCAGTGCTTGCTGTATTGTGGGACTGTGACAGAAGGAGCCCAGTCCCAACTGCAGTAACCTTAGCACCACTTTTCTCTTTAGAACCAGAGGGTCTCTGAGGGAGCTGCTCACCTCCAGGTCTGCCCTCATTGTGGCCTCCAGTGGGTCTGAGAAGAGCTCCGGGTCAGCCAGAAGAAACACTCTATGACAAAGACACTTACACTGATGCTCTATAGGTAATTATCATGTGGATAATGAACTTAAATCATGCTTGCTACAACATATATGCCATATACAGTGACTTACCTCTCTTGAAGATTGACGTGGTCATTTTTGAGGCTCTGCTCTGCAATAACTCTTCTGTGGTACAAAGAGCCTGAGGATAAATGCAGTCACAACACTGGATTTCTGTGCATGGACGATTTCTGCACATATAATAATATCCTCACCTGGAGTGAACAGCTCTGTCCTGATGCTCTTGACTGTGCTCAGGGCTACAGCGCTATGAGGGAGCGGTAATATGAGCAGCCTCATCAAACAGCCATACATGCTCTGGTACAGTTTGACCGGGATCACCACAGGAGACTGAGCACAAGGAAAACAATGGGGTCATATGTGCAACAGAACTTTCAACCAAGAGTATTTACTCAGTTAAAGATGCACTATGTAACTTTTCTGGACACCAGTTTTTCTTCATGGTGCTGTTATTGTGTGGAATGTTACACAGAATGGCATTACATTATCTCAATGAAAAATGTTTTGATTTTAATGTGAAGTACTTTGGTCACCTTGAGTGTTGTCAAGGGCTCTATAAATAAAGTTTAACTGACTGAAAAAAGAGACACCATGCCAAGTTATAGGTCAAATCTGTGGAGAGGCGATCCCACTCATAGTAAATTGCAATATTTTAGGTCAGGGGTCATCAAACTAAGGCCTGTGGACCCCTTTGCCCGCCTCCCCAACCCCTCTGCCCCCCACCACTTAAACTGGCCCTATGAGGCAATCCTCAAAAGTTCATGACCTAATATTTTTTATTACATTTTGGCAAATAATAACATGTCTGCATCTTGTATTTTGCTTACAGGCACAATGATGCAATAATTATTTAAAGTGATGTCTTGTATTGTAAAAGCAGTTGTGTGTTGCGAGGTGTGTAAGGTTGTACCTGTAAAACCACATAGTAGAGTGTGTGGAGAATGGGAATGACATGCACATGGGACTCACACATCTGTAGCTAACAAACACAAAAGAGTTTAAATAAAAACAGAACAAAATGCACACTCAATTTGGAAAATGTATTTACCTTATCTATGCACTTTTGCAGTTGTTTGACCAGTTTTCTGACCAGTGCAACTGTGCAGGACGGATGGGACTGGACTTTATTGTGAAGATTCCATCGAAGCATTCCTCCAAAAGTATAAAACAGATCTATCAAACTTGGTTAAGCAGGAAATCTCTCTATATTCTTAAATAGGCAAAATTATAAAAAAGTAAAGTAACATAGATAAAAACAAATATATTAAAAATGCTCAAAAGAACATTTCCAAATTAATTCTCTATTTTAGGTGTATTCTTAAAAGCAACAGGTAATGTAATTAACAAGTGTAAGTAACAAGTGGAAAGTACCTTTCTCTGAGGAAGCGTGGCTATTCTCAAACAGAGCTTTTACCATGTTTCTTAAATTGACTTCCATAGATAAAGGCTGTACCTTCTCTGTAATAACAATAAATGAAACATAAAAATAACCCAGTTACTATTATAATTGTAATCTGCACCATGTAAAATTATCAGACTCACCTGTAACATTGTCCATGGTGCAAAAGTCAAAGCTGAGGTTGATTTCAGCAACTTCCAAACTTGCTCAAAACTCATAGATTCCTTTTGGCAAGTTGCTGAGTAAAAAAATCTCTTTTATCTGCTACTTCAACAAACCTCCGAGGAAGTACTATGAATAAAACTAAAATACATGTCTTAAAGTGACTGAAGTACGTACGCACTTGACTGAGAATGTGAGCTGTCCAAATTCTTTAAAGGCTGGTTTGACGAACACAAACCAGGAAGTATTAAACTATCTAATTGCCTCATTATTTTAAATAAACAGAGCAGGTTAACATACAGTGAAGTTAAATAAATGCAGTAAAATTATGTAAATCCCAGGGTTGATGTAAAATTTCAGATTCAGATTATCCTGATTTGTACAAAAGTTTTATTGGGTCATCCCATTTTGGAAAATAGACAAGGTTACAGGAATCCAAGTGATGTGAGTGTCTGCTTGAGTGTCTTTGTTTGTCTTTTTAAAAATAGCTCTCAGAAATTAAAGTTATCTTTTAATAAACATGATATGTTATCAGTTCATAAACTGTGCACCAGTCAGAATGTTTGGCAAACGGAGTTGAGGGGCAGATCAGTGCTGAGAGGGGCAGAAGGAGCAGAGGGGCAGGCAAAGCAAGGAGCAGTAGGACGGGTGCAGGGGCTGTACTTGTCCTGGACGTATGCTGTAGGTCTTCCAGTCTGAAGAGGAGCCTGGTTTGCTGCACAGAGACACTTCACACCTACAAAACAGGAAGTATTGCCATTTATTACTATTTGGATTTAATAATATTATATTATACTTTAGAATTTAATCTATCACCAAAACATCACACTAAATACAGCTACCCCTTCAAATAGAAACCACAGAATAAATACTGGGACTGTTAGCATTTTTGAATTTGGGAATATAAAAAAAAAAAAAAAATTAATTAAATGACTTACAGAGCAGACATGTCAAACTCAGGCCCAGGGGCCAAATTTGACCTGCGATATCATTATATTTGGCACACGAGATCATATCAAATATGTATTAGAGCTGGACAGCCGCCAACAAATAAGCTATAGAGACATTATTTATTTCAAATGTTGTTATTATTTCATATTATGCTTGTTCTGGATTCAATAGTATGGCCGTCTGTGAATTTGGCCCTCTGTGAATTTGAGTTTGACACCCCTGGTATAGAGAATCTAGAAATAGCCTGCTGTTAATTGTGACTGTAAACATTTCCTGTTTGAGAAGCTCAATAAAATTAAAAGTTTTGTACACAGAAATGTGATATATTTATGTACCTCACAACACTTTGAAAGAACTTCTTCTCATCCTGATCAAGACACACAGCAAAAGTAGTGCCCTCACTCCCAGCATGCACCTGGACCTGGTCCACCTTCATCTCTGATATGCAGAACTGCAGTGCGTGAGAATGAATGAGAGTGAGGAGGAAGTGCTAACATCGTAAAAGGAAGTTAATGAAATCAGCCAAACCTGATTGAAGTTTCTTTTAGATTTGGAGCACTGCCTGTTTACAACCTCTGCAATCATCAGCTGAAGACTCTCTGTCGGGAAAATATATTCTTAAAATCATTCATCAACAACCTATGATCAGGATGATTAAAATGTCTTATTTCACATACCCAACTGCTCATGTTTCCTGCAGGCTTTGTACAAATTTATTGATGTACAAACTTTCTCAACTTGAATCCACTGACTTCTGCCACTGATAGCAACCTGAAATTATTTATGGAAAAAAAGTCTTTCTGGCATGAGGCATTTACATATGCCTGAAACAAATCAGTCTAAAGCAGCAACATTATTATATATATATATATGAAACTAAATTGAATGTAAATGTTTTTTTATTATATTTTTCATTGTTTATGAGATGTGATGTATGCTGGGTATCTTCAATATTAAATGAGAGATTGTACTTAATCTAGAAGAAATTTGCATTCTGGGGTCCTAAAATAGTAATTCTTTGTCTATAATAGGGAATAGTGTTCTGTGCAGTACCTTATTGTAAGCCATGTTTAATGTTAAAGGAGCTGCCTCTTGCTCATCATCTATCCCGAGGCGTTTGCTGACAGCACCTAAATATCAATAGAAAATGTTAAATTAAATTAAAACTGAAAATCAGGTTTGATGACATCTGACTAGCACATAGTTAGTTTATTCTACTTCTATCTACACAGAACACACCTTAGACACCATTCATGCCCAGCCCACCATGGAAAGCCCTGTTAACCGTCAGAGGTGGAGACTACATATTATAGGCTTTACGAAGGTTTTGGCACCATGAGTTGAGCAATTAGCTATTTTAGGAACAACAGACATAACAGCAGTTTCAATCTGAGTATCACCAAAACATTCACCAACATGGCCCAGAAGAAACAGGTGTTTGAGGCAGAGGAGAGCTCATAGACACTGCTGTATTCCTTTTTAATTTAAAGCCCAGTTGTGTAACATTTCCATCATTAAAGAAAGAATAGTATTTATTTCATTGTGAGTGGTTTCATTTCAATAAAATACACTGCAAATGTGTATCCTTACTATGAGCGGACCCATAAGCCATAACCCAACCCACCATCAAAAATGTCATACAGTGGGGATTAAACATATAAATTACCTCTACCATCCCAACAGGTTGATTTTTTATTAATTGTTTTGCTCTGAGAGAACATGGTGTTCTTTGCATGAAATATGTTTGTTGACTGACCCATGGCCTTCACAGCTCTGGTCCCTGCAGAGTGTCCCAGCTCCAGAGAATGAACAAACAACTCCACTCTATTCTCTCCTCCGGACAGAGTCAGCTGTGAAACAGGAACGTCACTCAAAGGAGTCTTCACATTTATAGTGGCTGCATTTACATGGCCAGTAAAACAGATAACTGAAGATCTGATTATGGGTGCATGTTTACAAACACATCAGAAATTAGATACAGCAATTTCACACCAGATTTAGATCTTTGCAACTGGCAACTCCTTAAATCAGATGATCAGATTATTGATTTACATGTAAACAGGCAGTGCAGAGCTAGTCTAACCTCGGCCTGATAGAGCTGCACCAGGATGGTCTCATCAGCATGTCGACAGTAGTACAGAACCATTTCTGCCAGCAAAGAAGGACGCACTGTAGGGACACAGTATCCTGAATCATCACTATCTTTACTTGCACTCTGAAGCACAAAAACATTTACATTTATATTTACTAACAAAGAAACTGATCAAACACATGGATGCTCTGTTTGTTAGGATTACATATAATGACATATTTTACTAAAATAAAACATCACCTGACAGAGAATGTCAGAAGATAGGCTGAGCAGACTGAGGACATTGCGTTCGTACCAAGGATCCATCATTCCCAACATGTGAGCTACATTACTGCTGCTTTCTGGAATGACATCCTAAATTATACAAATAAAACACATCAGACATCATAAATGAATCGTTATATCTACCCAGCTCCATAACATTCCCCTTCTTTCGATGAATAATAAAAGCACAACATAAGCCTACTATTTGCTATTTCAGTGATTTGTTATTCATTCCTTACTGTTTAACTAACCATTTTACATTGAAAAGTGTACGTATTATAGAAAAAAATAAGTACTATAACTATATAAAAATAAAAATATATATAAAAACTCATTGATGATTGTTGTTCTCACCACAGAAGTTGCACCCTCATCTGCTGTTTCTCCAAATGCTTGAGTTCCCACATTTTGTCTTCTGGTAGGTACAAAATAAAAGCGTAGTTTGCATCTTTTTGTAAGTTGTCCATGTTTACTGTCTCTATCCTGGAGGTCTGTGTATGCTCGAGCCAGCCTCCCCAACTCTTTATCCCCTCCAAAGACCACCACTCGGACCTGGATCACCTGCTCGGGCTCCTCTGTCAGATCACAGCTCAAGATGGGCCTCCTACGCATACATAAATGCTTCTGTGGAGAGCTGTCTGATGCTGGATTCTGCCTTAAGGAGGGATTGAGCTGTGGTTTGTTTTTAGATAGATCAGTTCTACAGCCCATGCTCTGAACCCGACGACAGAGCAACGGGCTACGAGGAGTTTTAAACAATAAAGAAAACCTCTGCACACCCAGAAAAGACTTGGATTTCTTCTTGGGTTTCTGTCTCTGTTTTTGTGGTTCATCATGTTCTTGTTCTTCACTGAAATCACAGTCCACCCCAGAAGAGCAGGACACAGTGGACACAGACCAGCTGGAGGACAGGGAGTGACCAGAGAACACTGAGTCTGCAGACATAGATGACACAGTGGAGATGCGATTATTTGTAAAGTCATTTTGTTGGTTTGCTTCAGTCTCATCTTCCTCATCCACAATAGCGTCATCAAGGTCGCCGTTTAGGAAGCACTCCTCGAGGGAATCAGGGTCAGACACATCACCAAATACAATATCATGAAGAAAGTCTGGAGAAGAAAAAACAGTGGCCATTGAGCTGCAGTTTTGCCGGGTTTCTTAGCAATTACTGTTATTTACCAAAATTGTTGCTTTCCCAAGTGCTTATGTGACATTTTGGTAGAGGTAGTATCAAACCTTCAGTTGTACCTGGTGAGAAGCAGTCTATTTTTATTAAAATAACAAACCAAGCGTCAAAAGCATGTACCATGATTCAATGTGTCTTCTATCTATCCTATATCTTCTATCCAAACAAAAATAAATGAAATCAATTCTCACAATGTTCTCTCCCAGCACTAGAAGGTTAGTTTATAATCAACAGTTTGGTGCAATAATTACCTATATTAGAGGATGTTTGCAATGTTCCAATGAGTTCCTCTTGTAGAGCACTAACGGTGTGACGCAAGGTCTGTCGGGCTTTGGACAGGTCGTCTGTGGAGGCACTCTGCTCCAAACTCACAGTCAGTGTCTCCAGGAGCTGATCCAACTCTTCAGAGGACTTTTTCTGGAAAGATCAGGCAGAAATGAGGACCATCTAAAAAAATGTATAGTTTACAAAAGCACTGGGTGGGCTGACCTGTAGTTCTGACTGCACCGCTGACAGGTCCACAGTCTCTTGTGCTGCCTGCAGAGCGTGGAGAATCAGGCTGATGGAGATGTCTCTGCTGCAGGTCTGGGACGCACTGAGCTGGAGAGAGGCACACTTCACCTCTGGGGGGGTGTCTTCCTCTGGACTCACTAACAGGACTGTCCTGATGAACAACAATTATCTACTACAAAAGACTATTCACATCACAGATTTTGAAACTAGTAAACAAAGGTTTCTTAACTGTTCAAAACATTGTTTTACAATTTTACAATGTTACATTTACATGGGATTTACACAAACAACAATTAATAAACTTACATGGTTTTCGAACTGTGAGGGTTACAAGGAAGCCCATGCTCTGTCCTCACCAGTCTTTGGAAGGATATACCTATATAACATTTGAACTTGTAAATACTGCCTCCTTATGGTGACACTTTGCATAACAGCATGTCTGTACCTGGCGCCCTGAGCTCCCGCTGCAGGACGAGCAGCAGACGGCGACAAGCCGAGCTGCAGGGCTCAGGCCACGACAGGAAACAGTGGAACAGAGAGTAGGCATCCTGCAGCAGCCCACAGTCTGCGGGCACGTGAGGGGCCTGTGGAGAGACTCAGGTATAACATGTACAAATTCACATTTTAAATTAGGGTTAGTGTCCTCACTTTTAAAAGAGCAGAGGTGAAGAGGAGAGTTAAAGGCACCACCAGGTCATACTCACACCGCTCTAACACCTGAAACAAACAACAGCATATATACTCATCATTCACATGCAGCAAGAATGACATTTATATCATAGACCTACAATATTTTTTATTCAGAATTAATACATAAGACACTGATTGTCTTGTGCTTCTGTGACATGAGTTATAAAATCTGTAATGCATTTTATGTATACAATTTGAAATGATTAAAATAAATGAATTGACTCTTAGCTTTCATAGGTTTATAGTTGCATAGTAGTGATTAATCACAATTACAAGATGTTTCATGTAAGTGTGTACTGTACCTCTTCAGTTTTATGCAGGATTTTGTTCAGGAGGATGACAGAGTTTTGAGAGTCCCTTTTCACCAGTTCTTCCAAGCACCAACGGTTGATACACAGTCCAGCTTAAAAGACACAGTACATGGCACGTTTTCAGTTTCTTTCAGCCTCACTTATACACCAGATAAGAACTATCATTACCCAATCAAATTTTAGCTGTGCATGTAGAATGACAACTTTATGCAAGTACACATGTTCTTATAGATAAACACTCATGCATTCTTACTATGAGTAGGTTCATCTCACCACAGATCTGACCTGTAACTTGGCATGGTCGCGTCACTATATCCATAGAGATACATTTAGTGCCATACTGTGGAATAAGCAAAGTATAACATCTCCATGGAGACAAGCAAGTGGTTGACTCTCTACCAGAAAAGTCACATAGTGCACCTTTAACGTTTAAAACAGCTGAGCCTTTTCTCTGGATGCTTTTCTCAGTTGGGAGAACCCAGTAACTGATACTAGTTTTGCCCTAAAACAAATTTGCAGTTGTTTTTGAGAACATACCATTCCAGAGCTGTTTATCAGGAGTGTCTAGTCCGAGGTCGCACAGGCATCTCTCCAGGACGTGTTCAATGCGGTCCTCAGTGCACGAACTCTGCTCTGCCTGCTCCATCTTCCAACAGAACACCAGCAAAAGCCATAAAAAAGCATTAACATAAACCCAGTCAGTGTAGTCTATTCACTTGAGAGCAGAAGTGTGAGGACAGAGGAAATATTGCCACTTCCTGACAAAACCATGAGTCACGGGACAGAACAGACCTGACTTGGTTTGAAGACGCCACTTCTGTATTTTTTTCTTCTAAAAAACCGCTGAGAGACACAGAATTTCAAATGGGGCAAAAGTGTCATTCAGCTATTGAAGCAGAAGCATGAGTGGAAATTGACAGTTTATTCCTTAAAATGTATTTGAAATGTCAATCATGCATTTGTTGTTGGTCATTAAGATGAACATCTAAACCTGGTGTTATACTGTTGATGCAGGCACAGTGACAAAACACTGTTCTAAACTTGTGGATTCAGGTCAGATCTGTTGAGAGGAGACAGAATGTACACATCATCAGGGTATTTTTTAGTTATTTATAATGAATGTGAGATAAATTCATAGCTTTAAAGACATACTGACAAACTGTGGAACATTCAAAGTTATAACATCACCATGGAGAGCAGATGGCATACACTAGCCTAGATCGTGCAGAAATGGTTCGTTTCTTAGCTCTGTTTGTTAGCTTAAACGATGTGCGTTGTTGTGCAGTGGCTGATGTACACATTCAGCCACAGTGAGGAAGCAGGTGTTAGTCTATTGTCTGGATATGAGCAGTATTGGGAAGTAACTGAATGCGTAGGCCTGACTGTATCCCGTCAGAGTTACTTTTTTGGTGGCATTCAGAATACAGTTACTTTACATTACATTACAGTATTTGATCATGTAATTTACTCTTCAAAATGCACAAAATCAGTGAGAAAAATAGACAACTCTGCTCTTGTGGGGAGTGCATGTGTGATTTTTCCATCTCCACTTAGTTAAAAGGTTGCGTAACAATTAGAAACTTTTTTTTAGCGTTTAAAAGCATTTTTAATACCATACCATGTTGCACCTTTACAGTATAATTTAAAAGCAACTCGATGTAAAAAAAATCAAAGTATTCACAATAGAGTACTCTGATAGGCCCGTGTAAAAGAATACATTACAAATTTTAATGCAGATTTTCAGTATTCTGTAACTAAATACATTTTTAAAATATTCTTCCCATCATTGAATATAAGCATAATTTTCTTACTTCTTCTAAACAAGACTGGCCAGAAAAACTGACTCTTTTTGATTATGATGCAAAAGCATGAACTTTACTGTAACAAAGATGGTAATTTGGTGTTTTTGTGTGTGTGTGTGTAAAGGCACACCAGTCTTACCACTAAATATGTTTACCTGTGTCCACAACCCCCTCAGATCAGTCAAGAAAACAATGCCAGGGTCACATCCTCTGCACCAAAAGGAGTGTGTTGACTCAACACTGTCTGGTCTGTATTTAAGAGAAGACGGGTGTCTTCAAGGATGTGTGATATGTTGTATATGTATATGATTAGGTTAAGTTTAGAAACAGTTAAGGAAGAAATATTGTGCATGTGTCTACTATAGTTATAATCTATGACACCTATGGATCATTGTGTTATAATTTGGACATTTTAAATCATTGATCTAAACGATGGTGCCCAATGGGAACTGATGTCGCTGTAAACGTCATCACCACAAAGAGTCAGCACTTCTGACAGACAGCAGTGTGTGGGTTGCACGATTGTGTGGTTTGTTTTTTGTTTGTTTCTCTGCTCAAGCAAGTTCAACTCGTGTCAGTAGACCTATTGCGGAACATGGCATGCTGGGTAATAAAACCAGTAAAAGCCTGAGCATCACTTCCCCCATTTCTGTTTGAGGGCACCACTGGAACAGCATTGGCATTCTAATTGTCAGAGTGATACTCAGCAGCCCAGTGTGAGCCCCTCTGACAATAAAATGTGGACAACATTGACTAGAACACATTTATTTTCAAAGTATTTCAAAATAAAAGTACCATTGAGATCAAATTAATTATACATATTAACATTTGCATCCATCACTTAATTTATATAGCAATTTAAATTTTAGTGAATTTGCTGAATTATAAGAACATATTTTTGGTTGTTAAGATAAACAGATCTATGGTTAAAACTGAAAAGAAAAAAACGCAAATCAAAAATTAATAAAGGAAGTGGTGTGATGTGATTACAAAGGATTTTCGCAACTTGCAAAAAGAAGAATTTGATGATTAAATCGCTTTCTCAGTACAGTTGTTTACAAAATCTTCCCCAAAATCAATCATTTGCTTCAGGGCCATCAGAATGAGTTTTTCAATGTCATCGTCTCTACAGATCTCCTTGTGGTAGTTCTTCACAGGGAAGATGCAGTTTAGAGGAATGCCCAGGGATACGCTGAGTTTGTCAATCTAAATGAAAACAAAAGAGTACATATAACTTTTGTTGCATACTGCTCACAAACTAACACAACATGTTAATACCTGATTTTTCACAAACTTGCTTCTGTAGACATTCCTCAAGTTAGACTGAACCTCAGGACAGGCCTCATCAATCTTAGTAACAATGGCCATTTGAGGAATCCCTAATGAGGAACATTAAGATTGTCAATTTCAGGGCAAAAAGCACAGGCCAATACCATCTAATAGTAAAATCTATATTACCCAAGTCTTTTGCTGCAAGTCGGACTACTTTCATCTTGTCAATGACTTCAGGACTCATGATACTGAGGGTACTGGCTGAGACGACACACACCAGAACATGTGTCTGGTCATTGACAGTCGGGCTTTTGTTGTAATGCTGCAGGTCTTCACTTGAAAATGAGGAGTGAGGATTAAACTGAAATTTAGACATCATGTAATTAATATATTTACAACTTACAGTAAAAAAGGTAAGTGTGTGTGTATTGTTTTTTTTAGCTTACCGCATACCCATCTTTCACGTGTCCCTTCATGGCCTCTTTGATGTCATCCACATTAATGCCTTTATTGTCTTTCTCTAGTCCCATGATGTCATTGAAGACAAACGGATAGAAGTTCCCAGGTTTTCTTTTTTGTATTTTGTGCATTTGATACTGTCAATAAATTGTCAACTCAGTCATGTTACAGTCACAGGTCGATTCATTATTCTCCTTTATACCTTTGAGGTGAAGCTGTCATTGCCAACACCAACTAAAGCCTGTCCAGTCATTCTTCCTCGTAAAGCTGTCTCCACTGAGTTGATGAAACTGGACTTGCCGGCGTTACTTGGTCCATGAAGCAAAATCCTGAGGTGTTCTACCTCTTTTTGGTCCGGTTCATAATTATTAATGTACTGCAGATAATCGTCCTTTTCCCTGGCAATAAAAAAACAATGCTACCAACGTTTAAAAAATGTATTGAAATTCATGGTGCAAATGAACACAACCAAAATCATCCATCCATCCATTTTCGTCCGCTTATCCGGGGCCGGGTCGCGGGGGCAGCAGCCTAAGCAGGGACTCCCAGACTTCCTTCACCCCAGACACGTCCTCCAGCTCCTCCGGGGGGACCCCGAGGCGTTCCCAGGCCAGCCGAGAGACATAGTCCCTCCAGCGTGTCCTGGGTCTTCCCCGGGGCCTCCTCCCGGTGGGACATGCCCAGAACACCTCCCGAGGGAGGCGCCCAGGAGGCATCCGGAACAGATGCCCGAGCCACCTCAACTGGCTCCTCTCGATGTGGAGGAGCAGCGGCTCTACTCCGAGCTCCTCCCGTGTGACTGAGCTCCTCACCCTATCTCTAAGGGAGCGCCCAGCCACCCTACGGAGGAAACTCATTTCGAGCGCTTGTATCCGCGATCTCGTCCTTTCGGTCACTACCCAGAGCTCATGACCATAGGTGAGAGTAGGAACGAAGACTGACCGGTAAATCGAGAGCTTCGCCTTTCGGCTCAGCTCCCTCTTCACCACAACGGTCCGATACAGCGACCGCATCACTGCCGAAGCTGCACCGATCCGCCTGTCAATCTCCCGTTCCGTCCTTCCCTCACTCGTGAACAAGACCCCGAGATACTTGAACTCCTCCACTTGAGGCAAAGACTCCCCACCCACCCGGAGAGGGCAAGCCACCTTTTTCCGGTCGAGAACCATGGCCTCAGACTTAGAAGAGCTGATCCTCATCCCAGCCGCTTCACACACTCGGCTGCAAACCGCCCCAGTGCACACTGCAGGTCCTGGTTCGATGGAGCCAACAGGACAACATCATCCGCAAACAGCAGAGATGAGATCCTGTGGTCCCTAAACCGGACCCCCTCCGGCCCCTGACTGCGCCTAGAAATTCTGTCCATAAACACAATGAACAGAACCGGTGACAAAGGGCAGCCCTGGCGGAGTCCAACATGCACCGGGAACAGGTCTGACTTACTGCCGGCAATGCGAACACAGCTCCTGCTCCGGTCATACAGGGACCGGACAGCCCTTAGCAAAGGGCCCCGGACCCCATACTCCCAGAGCACCCCCACAGGACACCACGAGGGACACGGTCGAATGCCTTCTCCAAGTCCACAAAGCACATGTGGACTGGTTGGGCAAACTCCCATGAACCCTCGAGCACCCTATGGAGAGTGTAGAGCTGGTCCAGTGTTCCACGGCCAGGACGAAAACCACACTGCTCTTCCTGGATCCGAGGTTCGACTATCGGCCAGATTCTCCTCTCCAGTACCCTGGCATAGACCTTACCGGGAAGGCTGAGGAGTGTGATTCCCCTATAGTTGGAACACACCCTCCGGTCCCCCTTCTTATACAGAGGGACCACCACCCCGGTTTGCCAGTCCAGAGGTACTGTCCCCGACCGCCACGCGATGTTGAAGAGGCGTGTCAGCCAAGACAGCCCCACAACATCCAGAGACTTAAGGTACTCAGGACGGATCTCATCCAATCCCGGAGCCTTGCCACCAAGGAGCTTTCCAACCACCTCAGTGACTTCGGCCAGGGTGATGGATGAGTCCGCCTCCGAGTCCCCAGCCTCGGCCTCCTCCTCGGAAGACGTGACGGTGGGATTGAGGAGATCCTCAAAGTATTCCTTCCACCGCCGGACAACGTCCCCAGTCGAGGTCAGCAGCTCTCCCCCCGCACTGTAAACAGTGTTGGCGAAGAACTTCTTTCCCCTCCTGAGGCGCCGGACGGTTTGCCAGAATCTCTTTGAGGCCGTCCGATAGTCCTTCTCCATGGCCTCCCCGAACTCCTCCCAGCTCCGAGTTTTTGCCTCCGCAACCGCACGGGCTGCAGCACGCTTGGCCCGCCGGTACCCGTCAGCTGCTTCAGGAGTCCCCTGAGCCAGCAAGGCCCGATAGGACTCCTTCTTCAGCTTGACGGCATCCCTTACTTCCGGTGTCCACCACCGGGTTCGGGGATTGCCGCCGCGACAGGCACCACAGACCTTACGCCCACAGCTCCGAGCAGCCGCATCGACAATAGAGGCCGAGAATGAAGCCCACTCGGACTCCAGATGACACGACTACAAAGTCGATCATCGACCTCCGGCCTAGGGTGTCCTGGTGCCACGTGCACTTATGGACACCCTTGTGCTCGAACATGGTGTTTGTTATGGACAAACCGTGACTAGCACAGAAGTCCAATAACAAAACACCACTCGGGTTCAGATCGGGGAGGCCGTTCCTCCCAATCACCCCTCTCCAAGTGTCACTGTCGTTGCCCACGTGGGCGTTGAAGTCCCCCAGGAGAACAACGGAGTCCCCGGTCGGTGCACTGTCTAGTACCCCTCCCAAGGACTCCAAGAAGGCCGGGTACTCAGCACTGCTGTTCGGCCCGTAGGCCGACACCACAGTGAGAGACCTGTCCCCGACCCGAAGGCGCAGGGACGCGACCCTCTCGTTCACCGGGGTGAACTCCAACACACGGCGGCTGAGCTGTGGGGCAATGAGCAGGCCCACACCAGCCCGCCGCCGCTCCCCGCGGCCAACGCCAGAGAAATGGAGAGTCCAGCCCCTCTCAAGGAGTTGGGTTCCAGAGCCCAAACTGTGCGTGGAGGTGAGGCCGACTATATCTAGTCGGTAACGCTCAACCTCCTGCACAAGCTCAGGCTCCTTCCCCCCCAGCGAGGTGACATTCCATGTCCCCAGAGCTAGTCTCCATGTCCGGAGATCCGGTCGTCGAGGCCCCCGCCGTCGACTGCCGCCCAGATCTCTCTGCACCGGCCCCATATGGCTCCTCCCGGCGGGTGGTGGGCCCACGTGAGGACGGCCCCACGTCGCTCCTTCGGGCTAAGCCCGGCCGGGCCCCGTGGGGGAAGGCCCGGCCACCAGGCGCTCGCTGACGAGCACCCACCCCAGGCCTGGCTCCAGGGTGAGGCCCCGGTGACGCCAATCCGGGCGACGTAACTGGCCTCTGTGTGTGATTCATCATAAGGGGCTTCTGACAACAACCAAAATCATAAATCATAAAATACAACATTTCCTAGACTTACCATGATGGTATCTGTCTCCAGTCCGCATGGAGAACTAGGAGAACAGAAAATATTAGTCTCTTAAACTGTAAATTATCATAACTGTTTCAAACTTACGCTTTGGAGAGGGAGGTGCTGGGGGTTTTGAGCGTTTAAACATCTGTCAGGAAAGAAATCACACTCAAACATTTAGTTTAAGCAAATATTGTTGTGACAAGCAAAATAGATTTTTTCCAGACAATAGTTACCCTTTTATGCACAAAGAATTTACCTCTTAATGCCCACTGTGAAATAACGCAAACATTCAAAAACAAAGTATTAGTTTACCTTTCTCAAAGAACATCTGATGTCGTTGGTTCCCAGGGCAAAACTGAGGTTTGTTTGTAAGTCAGTTCATTTTTGTAAATCGGTTTCGTTTTTGTGCTTTTTTCAGACATGATTGTGGCAGAGATATTTCAACATGTTGGCGTTTGTGGTAGAAAATGTTAAGTCACCTACACCCGTGAATTTCCTCATTGCAGTACAAGATTAATTGAACAGAAACTACATACATAACATTATTTAACTGTAATATTGCTATTCCTGACCAAACCATGAGTCACAGGACAGAACAGACCTGAGCTGGCTTGAAAGAGTCTACACTTCTGTTTTTCCTTCTTAAAAGAGCTGAGGGCTCAGAATCTCAGATGCAGCAAAAGGACCTTTCAGATATTGAAGCACAAAGTAGAAGTAGAAATTGACACTGTTTACTTCTTAAAATGTATTTAAATCTAATTGAAATGACAATCATGGTAAATGTTCACATTTTTCTATAGCACTTTTCCACCTTCAAGGCACTCGAAGCACTTTACAACAAGGAACCACTCACCCATTCACACACCAGTGTACGCAGACACTGTGGGCAATGTGGGTTAAGTGTCTTGCCCAAGGACACAACGACAGCATTCATCTGTGGGAGCTGGAATCACACCAGCCAACCTGTGGGTCAGTGGATCTGACCGGTCAACCTGTGATGTTTTTGTCGAGAGCTGGAATCAAACCGCCAACCTTCAGATCAGTGGGTGAATGCTCTACCAACTGAGCTACTGCCGCCCTCATGCGTTTCTTGTTGGTTGTTGATAACATGTACGTGTGCAAAGTACTGGGACGGGGGGTTGCAACTGGATTTTCCTATCCTCGGTCAGAAGGCACAGGAGACTTGATAGGTGACAATGAACTTTAATCCCATTTGAACAGTAACAGTAGCAGCAGGTGCATACATGTGTTGGTTTGTGTGTGTGTGTGTGGTTTTCTGTAACAAAAACAGCAAAAAGGAAACAATTAAAATCAAATATTATACAGATAAATAAACAGGTAAATAATATAACAGTAACAAGGCTTAAAAGTGACTGAACAGCGCCCTCCTTTGGTTGGGAAAATGTACTGCAAGGTTCAGTCTACAGTTTGGTGACGTCATGAATATTAATTAGCGGAAACGGATGAATTATATACCTGCGACGTTTGGACAAAGGAAAACTTAACACTAATTAGGAGATATTCAACATTCAACGTAGAAGTAAGACATGAAAGGTGAAAACGTTAATAATAGCTCATACGCTAGCATAAAGATAAACACCAGGTATAAATTACTAACAGATATTATGAAACAGAACTCAAAATATTGGCTACATTCAGGTGCCGAAACAAATAAACATAATAAGTATATACATACAAACAGAAATACACTGCATCACTTACTTATTATTAACGCACACGATACATGTCCAACACACTGCACTCGAAAACAGCCACTTAAAGGTTGTATAGAGGATTTTCCAAGGAACGAGAAATCCAGCGACTGTTTGTCCTTTTTCATATGTTGCGCATGCGTGAAACCACCCCCCGTCCCCTACAGCTCCCTACGTAGAAACGCCTTCTCCCGCCTCCTCTTTACGACAGAAACAGGTTTGTTTACAGCCGGTGCGCTGCACATGACTTATAAACAACTAACTACAGTGTTGGTTAGGCAAGGCGGAGAAGTGAGGAGTGGGGGGAGCGGGTGTGCGGACATTTCGTTCGCGGACGAGAAGTGAGGAGCAGGGAGAAGAGCGGAGCAGGGAGAGAGGAGAGGGGAGCAGTGCGCGGAGATTCCGTGCCCGGAGAAGTGAGGAGCAGGGGGAAGAGAGGAACGGGCAGCGGGGACAGGAGCAGGAAAGGGGAGCAGAGAAGGTTGCGTGGAGATTCCGTGCGAATGAACTAGCTACAACACGCTCTTTCTTTGCCTTGAAAATTACGTTTTCAAACATAGGATATCGCTTTCGTGTCCTGAAAAACGTTTGACTAGCTCTTGGAAATAAAGTAAGTTTTCATAATAAGCAGAAGTGACCTGTCCAGGAGTAATTTGGCGACCAATGCGTCAGTCTTTAGACCCTGCGTCTACTTCAGTCGCGCCATCGCTGGAATGAATCTTCAAGAATCACCTTAGTTTGGCTTCGCTGCTTTTTCCCCTTGTCTTCTTCTTTCAGCGACCTCAAAAACGGACTTTCTTTTGCGGCTAACTGCTCCTGGATTCTTGTCTGCCATTGCAACAAACTTTGTGCTAACTGCGAGGAAGATATAGGTAAAAAAAAGCCACTAAGAACTGTTGCGTTGGTGGAGTAAACAGCGTCTGTGCGTCTTGCGTCTGTGGACTGCGTGACAGGCGTACGCAAACCACGTACCGGCGGCGCGCAGGCAAGTCAGTTACGCTAGAAACGTAGGGAGATTGATTGACAGCCTGTCAGCTAACAGATAACGAGGCAGTGTCGTTATCTATTGGCAAATGTTTAGCTGGCCCCACCACGTCCAGAGTTGATGAATTTTTATTCTCTTTTTTTTGGTCATCATAATTACAAGGCTACTGCACCTCTATACACAAACAAAAAACAAAACAAAAAAAATCCTCCATACAACCTTTAACATAATACTGGGCAGGACTAGACCGAACATGCCCCGTATAGTGGCCACTAGGGGGAACATGGGGCAGTCCCAATGGCAACTACCACAGGGGGTTTTATACAGCCGCCCCCTAATGTGTGAAGCACATTATTTAAAACTAAAAGCCCATGTGACGACATCTAAGTACCATCTACACGCATTTCAGGTAGTGCAACAAGTTTGGCCACTGGGCGTCGGTAAGTATGGTCCCCAATGGTCACTTCCACTACTCGCACCTGTCCGTCTGGGCTGGGAAACACCTGTGTGACCTTGCCCACAGGCCAAAGTGCCCGCGGGAGTTGTGAGTCCACTACCATGACAGCTTGTCCCACCGTCAGTGCTGGAGTAGTCTGTTGCCATTTCTGGCGATGCTGTAGTGCAGGTAGGTAATGCCGAAGAAACTGAGTCCAGAAGTGGTCAGCTATTACCTGGCTGTGACGCCATTTCCGCCTCCCAAGTTGTTCTCTGGTGCCATACACAGCTTGAGGCAAGGAAGCATCCTGCCGCCCCATGAGCAGCATATTTGGGGTGATAGGATCAATGTCTGCAATGTCAGAGGACACATATCCCAGTGGTTTGGAATTTAGTATTCCTTCAACCTCAATGAGGACAGTGTGCAGTAGATCCTCTGCTACACTCTGACCCCGGAGGACCACCTGAAGTGCATATTTAACTGAGCGGATCTCCCGCTCCCAGGCTCCCCCAAAATGTGGAGCATGTGGAGGGTTAAAATGAAACGTGATGCTCTGTTCGCCGAGCTTTTCCTGCAGCTGAGACTTCATTGCCTTAAATGCCTCTTGTAGCTCCCTGTCACCTCCTTTGAAGTTGGTGCCCTGATCACTCAATATTTCAAATGGCTTTCCTCTCCGTGCAATGAAGCGGCGCAGAGCCATGAGAAACGAGTCAGTATCCATACCATTAAGTAGGTCCAGGTGAACACAGCGGGTGGTGAGACATTTAAAAATAATACTCCAGCGCTTTTCTTGTCTCCTGCCTATCTTTATGGTAAAAGGGCCAAAACAGTCAATGCCAGTAGACCAGAATGGAGGCTGTTGTAGGCGCAGCCGACTGGCAGGGAGATCAGACATTTTAGGTGATACAGGATTGGCTCTCCACTTCTTACACTCTAAACAGTGATGTTGGTGTTTTCTAATGGCTTGCCTCCCCTTTAGAATCCAGTACACACGCCTTAATTCAGCAAAGACACGCTCAGGGCCAAGATGTAGAAGGCGAGAGTCATAGTCCTTAATGATGAGATGAGTTGTGGGGTGGTCTGGTGATAGCACAATGGGATGCAGAGAGTCAATGTCCATGTTCTCTGCACGGCGGAGACGACCACCTACTCGAATAAGACCAAGCTTGGAGTCATATTCTGGAGACAGGGTGTGGAGTCGGCTACTCGCGTGCACCTCCTTTTCAGTTATAAGGGCATTCATTTCTGCCGGAAAACTATCCAGCTGTGCCTGTCTTAGCAGCTGGATTTCAGTCTCTAGGCGCTGGGCTGCAGACATGGGAGGGGCAGCCGCCCCGTGAGAGGACAGGTAGGTGGCCTGTACCAGATCAGCCCAGGAATCATGGTCTGCAGGCTTAAACTGTACTGGGTTAGTAGCAACATGAGCACAAAGCACAGAGTTCTTAAATTCACTATTGTTTACAGAGTCATTACTCATAACAGGCTGGGTTGGCCAGTGCTCAGGTGTTCGTCTCAGGAAGGAAGGTCCATCCCTCCACTGGCCTGGGGCAGACAGCTCCAATAGTGCTCTGCCCCGGGTAATGTCATCTGCTGGATTCAAAGCAGATGGAACATATCTCCAGCTGGCAGTCTCAGTGAGCTCCTGTAGTTCAGCAATACGAGTGCCAACAAAAACTTTATATTGACATGACTCGGACTGAATCCAGTTGAGCACAGTGGTAGAGTCTGTCCACAGAGTAGTGTCACTGATGGGGAGAGTAAGCTCACTGGTGAGGAGTTTAGGATAACTGTGCCCCTGCCAATGCTGCACATAACTCCAAACGGGGTACTGACAGTTGTTTTCTTGGCGCTACACGGGACCTGGCCATGGCAAAGGCGGTGTGCACTACGTGTCCAGCTGACTCAAATCTGAGATATGCCACTGCTCCATAAGCACGCTCTGACGCGTCACAGAATACATGCAGCTGTACTGTTCCATCTTGTGTCTCTGGTGTGGTGTAGCACCTGGGCATGCAGATATTTGGGAGAAACTGTAGCTCACTCACCCACTCCTGCCATAGTTGAAACAGCTCACCCTGGATTGGCTCATCCCAGTGTCTCTCCTTCTGCCACAGTAGCTGTACGATGAGCTTGGCCCGTGTGGTGAAGGGGTTGATGAAGCCCAGTGGGTCGTATTGTGAGGCGAGGATGCTGTAGATGTTCCTCATTGTCGGCTCATGAGAAGGCACTGGGCGACATCTATAGCTGATGTGGTCAGATGAGCAGTGCCAGGCCAGTCCCAAAGTGGACTCCTGTGGGTCTGGTTTGTGAGCGGTTAGCCATAGCTCACAGGTAGGTGATCTTGCCTCAGCTGGAAGATGGGCTATGGCTTCTGGATAGTTACTAGCCCACTGTCTGATCTCAAAGCCCCCTGTTAATAGCAGTTCTCTGATATTGTCAACCAGTGGCCGTGCCTGTGATGGAGAGGGCAGGGACTGCAGGCAGTTATCAACATAGAATGAGTGCAGAACACAGTTCAGTACCTGCTTTTACCCTCCTTGTGGTCCTGCACATGGCGCTGGAGAGCATATGTAGCGCAACAGGGGCTACATGTGGTCCCAAACGGCAGCACACACCATTCATAAATGTCTGGGGTGCGCTCCCTTTCCATGTCTCTCCAGATAAATCTCAAGAGAGGTGTGTCCTGGGCAAGGAGTCGTCCCTGGTGAAACATCCCACGTATATCCCCACTCACTGCAACAGGGTACTCCCTAAATCTCAGAAGTACACCGATTAAAGAGGGACCGAGTGTTGGGCCTGGTAACAGCTGGTCATTCAGACAGTCCTGCTTGCAATGGAATGAACAGTTAAAAACAATCCTGGGCTTATTGTTATGATGTACAATATGATGGGGAATAAACCAGGATTCATTTGTGCTGCTTGCCTCCACAGGACTGAGCTTCCTAGTATAACCAGCTTGTTCCAGCTTGTGGACCTCTGCATTGTATACACCAGCTAAGTCAGGGTCTTTAGCCAGGCGCTTTTCAGTGGACCGCAGAAGAGCCATAACAGACTCAGGGCCAGCTTGTAGTTTAGAAGCGTTCTTATGGCGGAGCAGAGGAGTTGCATAGTGGGCTATTCCATCTACTTGTACACGCTCAGTCCTGTTCTGCAGTAGCTCCAGTGCCTCTTTATCTTGCTTGGACCGAGTGGCCTCCTTCTCTGACCGATAAGGAAGAACATCTAACTGCCATAGCTTTTCCACATTATGCCTTAACACTTGAGATGGAGTTGGGAGCAGCGACGTGTGCAGGCATGAGACCTCAGCTGTTTGGTGAAAAAAGGTGGCAGGACCCTGTATAGCCCAGCCAAGTTTTGTGTTCACAGCGATAGGACTGCCCAGAGGACCAGCTTTAACAGGTGACAGTGGAGTAATAAGATGTGCGTTATCTGAGCCTATAAGGAGCATGGGTTGCACATCTGTGAATGCTTTAAAGGGGACATCACCCAGGTGTGGATATTTCTGGCACAGAGTGTCCATAGGGCAGGATTGTTTGGCCAGATTCAGCTCTTTGGCAGTAAAAGCTTTGCTGATGTGATGTTTAGTTTGGGGGCATCTGGGCGCACTTATGTCAAAGGTTACAGACGCTCCCTGTAACTCGGAGACTTCTTGTCAAATAGTCCTTAGTTTGTGGGATTCTAGAATGGCATGTGTAGAAAGAGATTTGCCCTCACTGTGGAGTGTAACTGGGACTACTTTGAGCATGACTCTGCCTGAGTGTGTAGCCTGATCTAGATACACCATGCTGGATGCTGTACTCACAGTCAGAACACTCCTGTTGGTGCATGGAGGATCTGAAGGTGTTGCTCTCCACAGGTAATACAGGGCTTTTTTAGAGTGCAGCTGTCAGGCTGGTGTCCCCTACCACATCTCCAGCATCTTTTATTGTCGTTTATCCAGCTAACGATCTGAGGGGTAGTCAGCTTGGTGAAGTCAGGGCAGAAGCTCAAATAATGCTCTGTACTGCTGCAGAAGGGACAAAACGGCTTAAATTTCTCCCTTTTTTTTTGCCTTTAAGAACATCTTTTTTCTCTGTAGAAACAGAGGTGTTAATGACAGCAGGTGCAGGAGCTTTGTCATTGCCATAGTAGATGGATGAGGAGGGTGACCTTTGCTGCTTAGATTGTTTCTCTCTGCGGTCTAAGCGAGGTTTATCTGCCACATAGCTATCAGTAGCTCGTCTTGAGATCTGAATGGCTTGTGATTTCCTCTCTAACCATCTGGCAAAATCAGGGAGAGTGTACGTGTCAGCTGAGTCACTCTGCAGGATGCCCCTTGTTAGGCAATATTCAGCAAAACTGTCCTGATATGAAGCAGGGAGTTTACTCAGCAACCTGTCCACATGAGAGCCACACGCCACTTCACTCTTTGCAGCTCCCTCAAGGGAGTTTAACAGTCCCACCAAGCTACTGACTGATAGAGCAAAGTCCTCGAATCCTTGTGCATCTCCTGCTCTCACTGTAGGTGCTCTCAGAATACTGTTAATCTCACTTTGGACTAGTTGCCGTGGTTGGCCATAGCGTTGCTGTAGAGCCTGCATTGCTTTGGTGTATGGCATGGAGTCATGGACATACCTCTTTGCAATTTGAAATGCAGCTGGGAATTTAAGATGATCCAACAGTACTTGGAATTTATAGTCCTCAGAAAGATGTGGATGTGGGCCCAGTACTCCATCCAGTCCCTTCTTCAATAACAGAAAGTCGCTTTCCTTCCCTGTGGTGAAAGTGACTAATTTAGGCTTAGAAATACCATAGGATATAGCCATTTCCATCAGGTTAGGTCTTTGATCTGCTGGCAGGAAGGAAGATGTGCCTTGGGGAACAGCAGGCTGTAAGCTGACAGGAGGCTGCAGTGAGGGAGCAGGATTCTGGTACGTGAGCTCACAGTAGGAGGAGGCACTTGTGGTGAGTGGGGCTGATTCACAGCAGGGCCTGATGTCCAGGGTAATGAGCCTGGAGCTGGCATGGGATAAGGGAAAGATACTGCAGGCTGGCTCTGCAGTGGTCTCGAGTAACTGTACTGTCCAGCAGTGGGTTGTGTAGACCAGGTAGGAGGGGGGGCCAGTTTAAGTCTCTTGGCTGCTGCCGCTGCCAGGGCGGATGTTGCTGGTCTGCGGCTGGCACTGCAGGCCAGGTTACCACTGGTGCTGGTCTAGCTGTCGACTGCATGGAAGAGAGAACATAAACAGGCTGTTGAGCTGCAGCTCCCGCTCCACTGAAAGCAGGTGCTGTGATCTGAGGAGTGGGAGGCATAGCAACAGGCAGAACTGTGGGAGGAGAGGCTCGCTGTACAGTTGTCTGCTCAGGACCAGGCGATAACGAAGGAAGAGGAGCAATGTTCTCCAGACTGCCCATCACAGATTCTTTGATAGAAAGGGCATCATCAGCAGTTAGCAGAGACATACTGGAGCTCCGTGCTGGTGGGAGCAGCGGCACTTGTGATCCTGCACTGCCAAGATTTAGAGATGCTCGCAATGTACTCTGTAACTCCCTCACTTGGTCTTGCACTTGTGATACACACCGTTCCATCCTTCTCAATCTCTCCATCTCTGGTGTCCTCTCAACTCCGACTTCTGGATGTATTGGAGTGGATGTTAAATATGCTGGTACCATTTTACTGCTCGAAATGTTCATATCAGCCTCTGAAACTAATGGATCAGGCTGATGGCCAGGATAAGTCAGAACAAAGTCATCCAGATGTCCCGGAAGCCGATGGAGCCTCCTTGGACGGACAACTTGCTCGTCTTCTTCATGCTGCCTTGATGTCTCCATTAGGAAAAGCTGTCAACCCTCTTATCCGGCTCGAAGGAGCACTTGTTGATAACATGTACGTGTGCAAAGTACTGGGACGGGGGGTTGCAACTGGATTTTCCTATCCTCGGTCAGAAGGCACAGGAGACTTGATAGGTGACAATGAACTTTAATCCCATTTGAACAGTAACAGTAGCAGCAGGTGCATACATGTATTGGTTTGTGTGTGTGTGTGTGGTTTTCTGTAACAAAAACAGCAAAAAGGAAACAATTAAAATCAAATATTATACAGATAAATACACAGGTAAATAATGTAACAGTAACAAGGCTTAAAAATGACTGAACAGCGCCCTCCTTTGGTTGGGAAAATGTACTGCAAGGTTCAGTCTACAGTTTGGTGACGTCATGAATATTAATTAGCGGAAACGGATAAATTATATACCTGCGACGTTTGGACAAAGGAAAACTTAACACTAATTAGGAGATATTCAACATTCAACGTAGAAGTAAGACATGAAAGGTGAAAACGTTAATAATAGCTCATACGCTAGCATAAAGATAAACACCAGGTATAAATTACTAACAGGATTATATTATGAAACAGAACTCAAAATATTGGCTACATTCAGGTGCCGAAACAAATAAACATAAGTATATACATACAAACAGAAATACACTGCATCACTTACTTATTATTAACGCACACGATACATGTCCAACACATTGCACTCGAAAACAGCCGCTTAACATAATACAGTGCAGGACTAGACCGAACATGCCCCGCAAAGTGGACCGAACCATTATAGTGGCCACTAGGGGGAACATGGGGCAGTCCCAATGGCAACTACCACAGGGGGTTTTATACATTGGTCATTCTGATGAACGTCTAACTCTGGTGTTAAACTACTGATGCAGCCACAGTGACAAAAAAAGTATTCTAAATTTAAAGGCACATTATGTATTCAGGTCAGATCTGTAGAGAGGTGAACACAGTCACTGAATATAGACATTTCAAGGTATTTCATAGCAATTCATAATGAAAGTGATAGAAATATATAGGTTTAGTGCCATACCGTGGAACATTTAAGTGATAACATCTCCATGGAGAGTGGGTGGCATACACTAGCTACATGGGGCAGAAATGGGTAGCTTGTTCACTTAAATGATGTGCATTGTTGTACAGTGGCAGATATAGAGCTATCTATAGGGCATCTGATCGGAGGAAAAAAGATTGGAGACCCTTGTCATAGATGATAATTCTTTACCATTTCCAAAACTATGGATTAATGGAAAATAATTCCCTGAAGGAAAATTTACTAACTCTGAATTAACAGATTTGAACAAAACCATATATCCATTCATACACAACCCAAACAATGTTGCTCAGTACTTTAACAACCCAGAAAAGATCAAAATTAGAACCCCATTCCTACAAAAGAAAAAGTTCATTTTAAAACTGTCTGGTATCTAACCTTCCAATGAATTCATCAGAACATGCTTTGGTATAGAATGTAATAAATGTTCTTTGTGTGATGTGGACATAGAAACAACAGAGCACCTCTTCTTTGAATGTGTCCATAGTATTACTTTATGGGAAGATACACATTTCTGGTTGTTCTCTAAAATACCTCGTCTAAAGGATTTCACCAAGAAAGACATCATCTTTGGACTTCTATGTAAGGATAAACAAACATGAACTACTTTTGAATGCTATAATACTTGGAAAATGTTTCATTCACAAAAACAGATTTTTGAATGTAAACCTCTTTTTTTTTTTTTTAAATAATATTTATCAAACTTTTTTTTTTTTTTTTTTTTTGCCTCTCACACCTTGGACAGCAAGAACTATTTCTGTAAAAGAACTTATCACTAGCTGTAGTGACTATTTGTCAAATAAAAGTAACAAACAAAAGCGTGGGTATGTGGTTTACGCAGCACAAATCAATGTCCATGACTAGAGATGATTTTCCAAGATTTATTTTCCAGTTTTTGGGCAAGCAACAAGGAATACATGTTTAAGGCCTACTCCTGCTGCCTCTCCTCGTGACTGGTAAAAAACCATAGGCCCACCCAGGTGCACTCTGGTCCATGTACCACCCTCCTTTATCCCCTAGGTGACCCAAATTATATAATATATAATTTAATTATATATTATATAATTATATATTACATAATAATATATTAATTAAATTATATAATATAAATAATACCAATTTAGACTAAGAAATTAATAAGAATTATATTAACATAGCAAAAATATATTATACAAATTAACAAAACTAAATTATTAAGCTAATTAACAAACAAAAATAATAAACAAATTTTAGAATCAACAAAATAAGCAAATAGCTCCTACACTAGCTATGAACCCCTGGCACCTCATTTAATTTATTTTATTTGTTTGAATGAATGAATAAATAATTATATAAATAAATTAATAAATAAATGGCTAACTAACTAACTAACTAACTAAATAAATAAATAAATAGGGCCAAAACATTCCCACATTGCAAAACCGGGGTCCACAAAAAAAAAAAAAAAAAAAAAAAAAAAAAAAAACTGCCAGTAGACAATGTTATGGCTATATGGCGCTCAAGTATTACATATCCATCTAAAACAATTAAATCTGTTTTATTTCCAGAGGTGAAATATTTGTTGGCAATATTTGTTTTTGAGACGGGCATGTTTTGGGCACCGGTGCGAGGGCCTCCCACGCGGTTTCAACCCTCGAGGTCATCGAGGTTCATACAGGCTGCGCTGGGGGTGTGGAGGTACAATTGAATGGCAGTTTTACAAGTTAAATTAGAAGTTAAGTGAAGTTAAGTTTATCTAAAGTACTAGTCAATGTATTAACAGCCCCAGAAGAATCGTTTTTTGTTTTGTTTTTTTCCAAAGAGGACTCAAGCTGTGTTGGTGTAGTTTTCCCTTCCACCAGCAGAAGGAGCTGTTTTGTTTAATGCTAATGTTCACTGTTAATTGCTGTAGAGTTAGAAATTAGCTCATTTTGGCTGAATCTTAATTCTCTTTCCCACAGAACTTTAATATAGATCCATGCTCTTTTCTTTATTCCATTTTTCAGATGTCAGTCAAATGAGTCACACTAAGTGGAAAACCATGAAAGGAAGGAGTAAACATGAGAGGCTTCAGGTCATCAGATAAAATAATCACATTGTGTTGGACTTAGTGAGGAGTTTATATCCTCTCTGCTCCTTGTGTCTTTTCTCTGGTGGGACTTCCTCAGCCGTTTCCCCCAGAATCAAGGGAAGGAATCAAGGAGAAAGAAGCAAGGAGAGAGAATGGAGATGCAGCCTTTGTGAGGATGGCTGACACATAGTTGTGTGATGTAATCTGCATCCCATAGAACTATAATAAATGTGTGCCAAAGTGTTCTTAAAAAGAATACTTCTGTTTAATTTAATTTTGGCCAATGTTAGCTAGATTTGAGCTAGCATGTGTACTTTCATTGCTACATACTGTATAATGTATAGCCTAAAGTGAGAGACTAAAGGAACAGACCAAGAAAAAAATTGGCTTTTAACTCTTCTTACAGTGTATCTTAGACTAAAGAAAAACAATACACAAACTAAAGTTTCTACGACAAACATTATTAGAATAATTTTATGTAAATTTACATAAAATATAATAATTTATACTGCAGAATAAAGACCCACAGCAAATACATATACATGAAATTGAATGTAATATTCCTTACAGAAATGTAGCATTCTCTACCTGTTCTACAACTGAAATCTCCTGCAAGCTGTGCAGAGTTAAAGCTTCCTTTCAGGGCAGCGTTTAGACTTCCTTTCATGTGATTTCTTTGAAACCTGGTGTATGATATTCTGCACATCTTAAAAGCAACAAAAAAAAACAAAAAACGGTTAAATCATACATTTGGCCTTTGTAGTCCATGAAGGCAGGTGAAGGCAGTCACATTTGCCTTTTTTCGCCTTCACTCGTCTTGCAAAGCCCCTGCAGACACCTTGATCTCGGTGCCTTGTTGCTTGCTCATCTTAAACACACCTAAGGTTACAATGAATCTACATCATCGTGTACACAGAGGTGATTCAATCATTATAATGATAATGTAATCATGTAAAAAACAATGTAAATTAAAATGCATAATAAAAACATTATTTCATACAGCAGAATAAAGGTTTGATAAAGGTTTTGGTTTTAGTTTTGGTCAAGGAAATCTTCACCAACATCAATAATTTGTTTCAGAGCCATCAGAATCAGTGTGTCCATGTCCTTGTTTTGAATGAATTCAGAGTGGTAATTTTTCACTGGAAACATGCAGTTCATTTGAATACCCACATATGCAGACAATTCCTCTATCTGAAATGAAACAATACAAACAAAATTCTTATGCAAAAGTATAAAAGTATATAAATATGTGCGTTATTCACCATCTTACTCTTTTTTTATTATATTGCTTGTGAAGACCTTTTTAATATTTAAGTGCACCTCAGGGCAGGCTTCATCAATCTTGGTAAGAACTACTATTTGTGGAATTCCTAAAAAAAAAAGAAAAAGAAAGTACACATACATGCACATACATATTTTAGTTGCTCTGCACAAAATATTACCCAGATCACTGGCTTCAAGGCGGACGTCCCTGATCTTTTCAAGGTGTTCATTGCCCAGTAAATGACCAGTGCTGGCTGAGACCACACACACCAGAACATGGGTTTTGTCATTCATAGTGGGACTGCTGTTGTAGAATGGGTCAGTAGGGCTTATTGAAGTCTGAGGGTTGAACTTTAAAACAAAACCATAAAAATTACATCTACAAATCTTAAAAAAGTATAATACTGACTTGAAATAAATCAAGAATAAATAAACCCAAATACCAGCAGGATTGGTGCATTTGTCCAAAAAGCCTACCGTATAACCATCCTTCACATGTCCCTTAAAAGCTAATGCAATGTCCTCAGGACAAGCTCCTTTCTTCCTTTCCTTCTCGAGACCCATGACATCAGTGAAGACAAAGGGATAGTAGCTGCTACTGTCCTTTTTTATAGAGTGTGTTCGATACTGAAAAAATAGGAAGCGCAGCAACTGTCAACATATTCACCAGCACTAGTGTCAATATTTAATACCTTTTTAGTGAAGCTGGAGCCACCAATACTATCAGATAAAGCCTGACTAGTCACTCTGTCTCTCAGAATTCTTTCCACTGAGTTGATAAAGCTGGATTTGCCAGATCCCGTGGGCCCGTAGAGCATGATTCTAATGTGCTGAACCTCATCTTTGGTCAGTTGGAACTTTTTGATGGAGTCCAGATATGAATCCTTGTCACTATGCACACAAATGAGATAATTACTTTCAAAAGAAAAATGTAAACTAGAAAAGCACACAGAGCGCAGACCTCCGCCAAGGACTACCCCCATTTTTTATATAAATTGCGATAAAATCAGTCTTCTGGATCAGATCCGGATCAGCCTTTGGAATATGAAAGAGGATCCCATTGTCCATCCCTGAGTCAGATTTCATGGGGTTTGGTCAATAATTAACCGAGATATTGAGAAACAAAATTTTTGGCCCCATTTACCACAATGTTAACTAAAATTTCAAAGTGATCCAGAATCCAGGATTTCTTCCGGATCACCCCCAAAATGAAATCAGTTCTTCCTTTTCACATTTCCAACAAATCCTGAAAATTTCATCAAAATCGGTCCATAACTTTTTTAGTTATGTTGCTAACAGACAAACAAACAAACAAACAAACAAACAGACAAACGCTGGCAAAAACATAACCTCCTTGGCGGAGGTAATGAATAAAGACTCACTCTGTTTGGACGATCCTCCAGGGAGTAGCAGGTTTGAACAATGATTTGAAAGCTTTCATAGCTGTAGTCACAAAATATCCATTATTGTAGATAAAAATAAATACCTACAGCATTGCCCATAGCAAATAAAAGTACATAAACCTGAATGTAATTTTCCTTGTAAAATGTAGCATTCTCTACCTGTTCTCAAAGTGTGTCCTGTGACTGATGCAGAACTTATTTTTGCAATTAAGATCTCCTGCAAGCTGTGCAGAGCTGAAGCTTCCTTTTAGAGCACCGTTTAGACTTCCTTTCAGTCATGTGATTTCTTTGAAACCTGAAAAATAGACAACTCTGCTCTTGTGGGGAGTGCATGTATGATTTTTCCATCTCCACTTAGTTAAAAGGTTGCGTAACAATTAGAAAGGGTTTTTTTTTTTTAGCGTTTAAAAGCATTTTTAATACCATACCATGTTGCACCTTTACAGTATAATTTAAAAGCAACTCGATGTAAAAAAAATCAATGTATTCACAATAGAATACTCTGATAGGCCCGTGTAAAAGAATACATTACAAATTTTAATGCAGATTTTCAATATTCTGTAACTAAATACATTTTTTAAATATTCTTCCCATCATTGAATATAAGCATAATTTTCTTACTTCTTCTAAACAAGACTGGCCAGAAAAACTGACTCTTTTTGATTATGATGCAAAAGTGTTAACTTTACTGTAACAAAGATGGTAATTTGGTGTTTTTGTGTGTCCACAACCCCCTCAGATCAGTCAAGAAAACAATGCCAGGGTCACATCCTCTGCACCAAAAGGAGTGTGTTGACTCAACACTGTGTCTGGTCTGTATTTAAGAGAAGACGGGTGTCTTCAAGGATGTGTGATATGTTGTATATGTATATGATTAGGTTAAGTTTAGAAACAGTTAAGGAAGAAATATTGTGCATGTGTCTACTATAGTTATAATAGTGGATCATTGTGTTATAATTTGGACATTTTAAATCACAGTATTGATCTAAACGATGGTGCACAGTGGGAACTGATGTCACTGTAAACGTCATCAACACAAAGAGTCAGCACCTCTGATAGACAGCAGTGTGTGGGTTGCACGATTGTGTGGTTTGTTACCTCTGCCAAGGAGGTTATGTTTTTGCCGGCGTTTGTCTGTTTGTTTGTTTGTTTGTCTGTTAGCAACATAACTAAAAAAGTTATGGACCGATTTTGATGAAATTTTCAGGATTTGTTGGAAATGTGAAAAGGAAGAACTGATTTCATTTTGGGGGTGATCCGGAAGAAATCCTGGATTCTGGATCACTTTGAAATTTTAGTTAACATTGTGGTAAATGGGGCCAAAAATTTTGTTTCTCAATATCTCGGTTAATTATTGACCAAACCCCATGAAATTTGACTCAGGGATGGACAATGGGATCCTCTTTCATATTCCAAAGGCTGATCCGGATCTGATCCAGAAGACTGATTTTATCGCAATTTATATAAAAAATGGGGGTAGTCCTTGGCGGAGGTCTGCGCTCTCTGAGTGCTTTTCTAGTTTATATAGCAATTTAAATTTTAGTGAATTTGCTGAATTATAAGAACATATTTTTGGTTGTTAAGATAAACTGATCTATGGTGTCAGCTTCTTCTGGAGGGGCCTGAAAAGAGCCTTAAAAGAGAGTCCAGAAGGATTAAAGGTGTTCACAAACATGTCTCTTTATTAGGCTCACACAGGTACAGATCTCTTGATTCAAGTTGATTCACACAGCATCTCTCCACGTCACCTCTCTTAGTACAAGAAGAGCTGACAGCTTTATACTGACCATCTCGTAAGAATATTGACAAACTGTAACTGGTATTTACAGAAATGTTGACCTAGACAGTGTAACCACAGATAGTCATATGTTAAAGAGTTCAGACACTCCCCCTTTATGTCTCATATACATCACAAAGTCCATCATAACATGTCCCAAACTCATTGACATTTTAAAGTTCAGACACTGACTTCTCTTTATGACACATGTACAAGAACATTGAACCCCTTCCACATTGCATGGTGAATTAACATGAATGAAACACTAAAAATACAGAAATTAATTCCCACAATGGTTAAAACTGAAAAGAAAAAAAAACGCAAATCCAAAATTAACTAGAAAAGCACTCAGAGAGTGCAGACCTCCGCCAAGTTAGACTGAACCTCAGGACAGGCCTCATCAATCTTAGTAACAATGGCCATTTGAGGAATCCCTAATGAGGAACATTAAGATTGTCAATTTCAGGGCAAAAAGCACAGGCCAATACCATCTAATAGTAAAATCTATATTACCCAAGTCTTTTGCTGCAAGTCGGACTACTTTCATCTTGTCAATGAGTTCAGGACTCATGATACTGAGGGTACTGGCTGAGACGACACATACCAGAACATGTGTCTGGTCATTGACAGTCGGGCTTTTGTTGTAATGCTGCAGGTCTTCACTTGAAAATGAGGAGTGAGGATTAAACTGAAATTTAGACATCATGTAATTAATATATTTACAACTTACAGTAAAAAAGGAAAGTGTGTGTGTATTGTTTTTTTTAGCTTACCGCATACCCATCTTTCACGTGTCCCTTCATGGCCTCTTTGATGTCATCCACATTAATGCCTTTATTGTCTTTCTCTAGTCCCATGATGTCATTGAAGACAAACGGATAGAAGTTCCCAGGTTTTCTTTTTTGTATTTTGTGCGTTTGATACTGTCAATAAATTGTCAACTCAGTCATGTTACAGTCACAGGTCGATTCATTTTTCTCCTTTATACCTTTGAGGTGAAGCTGTCATTGCCAACACCAACTAAAGCCTGTCCAGTCATTCTTCCTCGTAAAGCTGTCTCCACTGAGTTGATGAAACTGGACTTGCCGGCGTTACTTGGTCCATGAAGCAAAATCCTGAGGTGTTCTACATCTTTTTGGTCCGGTTCATAATTATTAATGTACTGCAGATAATCGTCCTTTTCCCTGGCAATAAAAAAACAATGCTACCAACGTTTAAAAAATGTATTGAAATTCATGGTGCAAATGAACACAACCGAAATCATAAATCATAAAATACAACATTTCCTAGACTTACCATGATGGTATCTGTCTCCAGTCCGCATGGAGAACTAGGAGAACAGAAAATATTAGTCTCTTAAACTGTAAATTATCATAACTGTTTCAAACTTACGCTTTGGAGAGGGAGGTGCTGGGGGTTTTGAGCGTTTAAACATCTGTCAGGAAAGAAATCACACTCAAACATTTAGTTTAAGCAAATATTGTTGTGACAAGCAAAATAGATTTTTTCCAGACAATAGTTACCCTTTTATGCACAAAGAATTTACCTCTTAATGCCCACTGTGAAATAACGCAAACATTCAAAAACAAAGTATTAGTTTACCTTTCTCAAAGAACATCTGATGTCGTTGGTTCCCAGTGCAAAACTGAGGTCTGTTTGTGAGTCAGTTCATTTTTGTAAATCAGTTTCGTTTTTGTGTTTTTTCAGACATGATTGTGGCTGAGATATTCAAACATGTTGGTGCTTGTGGTAGAAAACGTTAAGGCCATGAATTTCCGCATTGCAGTACAAGATTAATTGAACAGAAACTACATACATAACATTATTTAACTGTAATATTGCTATTCCTGACCAAACCATGAGTCACAGGACAGAACAGACCTGAGCTGGCTTGAAAGAGTCTACACTTCTGTTCTGAGGGCTCAGAATCTCAGATGCAGCAAAAGGACCTTTCAGATATTGAAGCACAAAGTAGAAGTAGAAATTGACACTGTTTATTTCTTAAAATGTATTTAAATCTATTTGAAATGACAATCATGCATTTGTTGTTGGTCATTCTGATGAACGTCTAACCCTGGTGTTAAACTGTTGATGCAGCCACAGTGACAAAAAAAGTATTCTAAATTTAAAGGCACATTATGTATTCAGGTCAGATCTGTAGAGAGGTGAACACAGTCACTGAATATAGACATTTGAAGGTATTTCGTAGCAATTCACAATGAAAGTGATAGAAATATATAGGTTTAGTGCCATACCGTGGAACATTCAAGTGATAACATCTCCATGGAGAGTGGGTGGCATACACTAGCTACATGGGGCAGAAATGGGTAGCTTGTTCACTTAAATGATGTGCATTGTTGTACAGTGGCAGATATAGAGCTATCTATAGGGCATCTGATCGGAGGAAAAAAGATTGGAGACCCTTGTCATAGATGATAATTCTTTACCATTTCCAAAACTATGGATTAATGGAAAATAATTCCCTGAATGAAAATGTACTAACTCTGAATTAATAGATTTTAACAAAACCATATATCCATTCATACACAACCCAAACAATGTTGCTCAGTACTTTAACAACCCAGAAAAGATCAAAATTAGAACCCCATTCCTACAAAAGAAAAAGTTCTTTTTAAAACTGTCTGGTATCTAACCTTCCAATGAATTCATCAGAACATCATCTTTGGACTTCTATGTAAGGATAAAAAACATGAACTACTTTTGAATGCTATAATACTTGGAAAATGTTTCATCCACAAAAACAGATTTTTGAATGTAAACCTCTTTTTAAAAAAAAAAAAAAAAAAAAAAAAAAAAAATATATATAATATATATATATATATATATATATATATATACATATATATATATATATATATATTATCAAACTTCTTTTTTTTTTTTTTTTTTTTTTTTTTTTTTTTTGCCTCTCTCACACCTTGGACAGCAAGAACTATTACTGTAAAAGAACTTATCACTAGCTATGAACCCTTAGACCCCTGGCACCTCATTTAATTTATTTTATTTGTTTGAATGAATGAATAAATAATTATATAAATAAATAAATAAATAAATAAATAAATGACTAACTAACTAACTAAATAAACAAATAGGGCCAAAACATTTCCACATTGCAAAACCGGGGTCAACAAAAACAAAAAAAAACAAAAAAAAAAACTGCCAGTAGACAATGTTATGGCTATATGGCGCTCAAGTATTACATATCCATCTAAAACAATTAAATCTGTTTTATTTCCAGATGTGAAATATTTGTTGGCAATATTTGTTTTTGAGACGGGCATGTTTTGGGCACCGGTGCGAGGGCCTCCCACGCGGTTTCAACCCTCGAGGTCATCGAGGTTCATACAGGCTGCGCTGGGGGTGTGGAGGTACAATTGAATGGCAGTTTTACAAGTTAAATTAGAAGTTAAGTGAAGTTAAGTTTATCTAAAGTACTAGTCAATGTATTAACAGCCCCAGAAGAATCGTTTTTTGTTTTGTTTTTTTTCCAAAGAGGACTCAAGCTGTGTTGGTGTAGTTTTCCCTTCCACCAGCAGAAGGAGCTGTTTTTGTTTAATGCTAATGTTCACTGTTAATTGCTGTAGAGTTAGAAATTAGCTCATTTTGGCTGAATCTTAATTCTCTTTCCCACAGAACTTTAATATAGATCCATGCTCTTTTTTTTTTTATTATATTGCTTGTGAAGACCTTTTTAATATTTAAGTGCACCTCAGGGCAGGCTTCATCAATCTTGGTAAGAACTACTATTTGTGGAATTCCTAAAAAAAAAAAAAAAGAAAAAGAAAGTACACATACATGCACATACATATTTTAGTTGCTCTGCACAAAATATTACCCAGATCACTGGCTTCAAGGCGGACGTCCCTGATCTTTTCAAGGTGTTCATTGCCCAGTAAATGACCAGTGCTGGCTGAGACCACACACACCAGAACATGGGTTTTGTCATTCATAGTGGGACTGCTGTTGTAGAATGGGTCAGTAGGGCTTATTGAAGTCTGAGGGTTGAACTTTAAAACAAAACCATTAAAATTACATCTACAAATCTTAAAAAAGTATAATACTGACTTGAAATAAATCAAGAATAAATAAACCCAAATACCAGCAGGATTGGTGCATTTGTCCAAAAAGCCTACCGTATAACCATCCTTCACATGTCCCTTAAAAAGCTAATGCAATGTCCTCAGGACAAGCTCCTTTCTTCCTTTCCTTCTCGAGACCCATGACATCAGTGAAGACAAAGGGATAGTAGCTGCTACTGTCCTTTTTTATAGAGTGTGTTCGATACTGAAAAAATAGGAAGCGCAGCAACTGTCGACATATTCACCAGCACTAGTGTCAATATTTAATACCTTTTTAGTGAAGCTGGAGCCACCAATACTATCAGATAAAGCCTGACTAGTCACTCTGTCTCTCAGAATTCTTTCCACTGAGTTGATAAAGCTGGATTTGCCAGATCCCGTGGGCCCGTAGAGCATGATTCTAATGTGCTGAACCTCTTCTTTGGTCAGTTGGAACTTTTTGATGGAGTCCAGATATGAATCCTTGTCACTATGCACACAAATGAGATGATACTCTCAAAAGAAAAATTAAAATGAATATAGTCAGGGAGCCAAAGTCTCAAAAATGGGTTGAACCTGGCATCGCCTGCCATACTTTTTATTTGTGTTTTTTTTTTGTTAACTGTGACCCTGAGGACCAATAATTGGAGGGTCTGCTTTTCCGGAAATATTGCGAAAAAAAATTGTGGCCATTTTAGTGTAGGTAACCTTCATTTTGTGATAGAAAATTCTGAAAAATGAAAAATGTTCTCAAATCCTCAGTGGATTGGGTAAGCTGTCTACAAATACATTCCAGATGCAAAGAACACATGTGGTGACAACATTCAGTGAAAAAAATATTCATAAAACACATTTCTACATGATTTTGGCTCAATTTAATGCCAAAAAATAAGGAATTTTTTTCACTTTTTTCCAATATTTTCATCTTTACCTCATTGGCAATCAACTATTTCCCCAAGTTTTGACATCAGCCAATATGCCATTCTTTTCTTCAAACAGTATAGTCATTCCACAGAAAAAAATATTAAAATCCAACCAAAATCAATGGATCTGTGATGATTTCTTTACCATCAACAGGCCCAGAACCTCAATAGAATGTTAGGCTCCTCTCAACATTCCATAAGGCACACTGGATATTTAGCATGGTTGTTAATGTCCACATTAATAAACATCATGGCCTAGGCATCTTTTAAATAATAATAATAATTATTATAATAATATTATTATTATTAATAATAAATATAGCCGCAAGCGGCAATGATCAGCCCTCGCTCGAGCCTATGCCACGCCCATGCCACGCCGCACCCCGACCACGTTGAGCTCTGCACATGCCGTGCCCCACAAATGCACCTTACTCATTGATCTAACTTCTAAATTAACACTAACCCCTAAACCTACGAGAACTCCTAACCATAGCCCTAACCCTAGCCCAGGGGTCGGCAACCCAAAATGTTCAAAGAGCCATATTGGCCTAAAAAAACAAAAACCATACCTGCCTGGATCTGCAAAAATTAAAAGTTTTATATAAGCCTAATATGAAGGCAGCATAGGCTGTTAGTATATTAGCTGTATAAGCCGACTATTAAAATGACTAAGTCGGCTACAAACAAAATGAGCATTCATGATTACACAAACCCCTTTTGCGACCCTCTCATACTCGGTGCGCCGTCTGTAGCCACTGAAATCAGGTGGTTAGTGTTTATTCCTTTGTCATTTAGGCCCCGTTTACACGTACACGGGTATTTTTTAAAAACGGAGACATTTCCCTTCGTTTGTACACATTGTACACGTTAATTCGCCTCTGAAAACGAATCTTTCTAAAAACTCCAGCTAAAGTGGAGATTTTGGAAAACTCCGGTTTCACGTTTGCATGTAAACTGAGATAAACGGAGTTTCAGGAGGTGACGCGCTGAAAGTGCGACCGACGTTTACCTGTTGCTTTGACGACGAGCAGAAGCTCTGAGCTCGGGCAGCAGCGCCAAACACACGGGAGTACTCAGCGCAGCTCCTCAAGACAGGGCTGTGGGTCCAGTGTTGGTCAGATTGTCCGGAGGCTTCATCCTCCATGTCCTGGTTCCTGACGGGGGCGAGAAAGACCAGCGCGCAAAGGACTGGGTCCGAGTGCTTCAGTGCTGTCATCTGTGCGCTGGTTCCGTGCGGGAAAAGCGAGAATGCGCTGTGGACCACAGGTCCGGGCAGTCTGCTCTGGTCCTCCGTGCTCGACCGTGGCTGGTTCCGAGGTGGTGCAAAGCGTCCGGACAGAAGCGTGAATCCAGTTTGGTTCGTTATGTTGTTCTGAGCGGTCCGTCTGCGCATGTGTTTTTTTTTTTTTTTTTTTCGGGGAAAGCGCTTCTCAGGTGGAGGCACCAGATACCACCCCCGCTTCAGCTTATCTATTTGTTCTGCTGAAACACTTTTTATGTGTTTCATTTGCACACAGCTGATGGATCAGATCCATGACCAGAGATGAATGAGGGTTTTACCCCTAAAGAAACCAGATTAAAACAACAACCAAAAAAATCATTCCTTTTCCATTTTCACTCATTTTTGAAAAAGCTCCAGGGAGCCACTAGGGGAGTGCTAAAGAGCCGCATGCGGCTCCGGAGCCGCGGGTTGCCGACCCCTGCCCTAGCCTAACCTTAACCCTAGCCCTAACCCGAACCTTACCCCTAACCTAACCCTAACCCCTGATCTTAACCGAACCCTACTATTTTTCTCAATTTCTGTATGTGTTGATTTTTTTTTTTTTTAAATCCAAGATGGTGGACTTCCGGTTTGGGAGAGAGCGTGGTCACAATATACTTTATTGTTCCTATTCCCATGATGCATCTGTGTACTAAATTTGGTTTGAGTACGTCAAAGTTTTTGTTGGGACGTCCCCTTGGTGAAGACAGATTTTTGGCCAGTTGCCATGACAACATGGGAGATGGAGTGTGGGTGTCATTGACTTTTTTCATTAAGACCAGGCCACGAATGTGTGTAGCAAATTTTACGTGCGTACGACAAAGTAAAATTTTATTGTTCCATACAACCTCCCTAGGGGGCGCTATTGCGTCCAGTTTAGATTTCCCTATATAAATCTGTTCAGGGTCGGAGTGTCCACCAACAATTAAAGTTTGAGTGAACTTGGCCAAAGTTTGTGCGAATTATCACGCGTCGAAGTTTGATGGCGAGCTGCAAAAACGAACCCGAAATTTGCACCGTTGCCACAGCAACACTGTTTTAAAAAGCTTTAAACAACTTTTAATGTCTCACTCGTCTAGATGATACAGAATGATTCTAGTGAGTCTGGGTCAAACGCCTTAGGACGAGTTTGTTCAAATATGAGGACAAGAAAATGGCGCCGAGTCGCGCGATCAGTCCAATATGGCCGACTTCCTGTTAATATACTTTTTTGTCCCTATTCCCATGGTGCATCTGTGTACCAAATTTGGTTTGGCTACGCCAAAGTTTTTGTTGGGCGTCCTATAGATGCATCAAAAATCTCAGACTTCCGGTCATTGTGCAATCCAGACTGGGAAGGATTTTCCAAAAAAGTGAGCATCAAACCTCCATGTTTGTTTTCTCAGTGGGATGTGTCTATTGTCAAAGTCAATCTTTTCAAGTCTTTTGAACCATATCACTTTTGTTTTTGGTTCTGATATTGTCATATTTTTGTTTTGTGATTCAGATATCGTTAATTGTGTGGTTGTTGGATCCAAACAGCGGAAAACGGCTCAAGAAATTTGTTTGCGAACTCCATAAATGCAAAAGTGAATCAGATGTGTGTGACTCAAACCTCCGTTCAAACTGTTTCTCTTCACAACGGAATTGAAAAATAGTGAAAGGTGAAGGTGATGGGCAGGATTGATCCACAGGAAGAACCAAAAAGGAAACCTTTGACTTCCTAACTCATCCTGAGTTTGCAGAGAACATTTTGTATGTGGAGCCATCAAAGTAAAATCCCGTTTGTTAAGTGAGACGTACAGAAGACAAACAGACTGAGCTGCACTTTCTTGTTCTTGTGGTTTTACAGCAACATCACGTCTTGGTCTCTTTGCAGTGGAAGGTGTTTCTTGGTGAACAGCTGGTGCCTTTCACTTTGGCGTTGACTTTTTAAATTCGTGAACAAGGTGGAGCGAGGGACCATGATGTTTATTAATGTGGACATTAACAACCATGCTAAATATCCAGTGTGCCTTATGGAATGTTGAGAGGAGCCTAACATTCTATTGAGGTTCTGGGCCTGTTGATGGTAAAGAAATCATCACAGATCCATTGATTTTGGTTGGATTTTAATATTTTTTTCTGTGGAATGACTATACTGTTTGAAGAAAAGAATGGCATATTGGCTGATGTCAAAACTTGGGGGAATAGTTGATTGCCAATGAGGTAAAGATGAAAATATTGGAAAAAAGTGAAAAAAATCCTTATTTTTTGGCATTAAATTGAGCCAAAATCATGTAGAAATGTGTTTTATGAATATTTTTTCACTGAATGTTGTCACCACATGTGTTCTTTGCATCTGGAATGTATTTGTAGACAGCTTACCCAATCCACTGAGGAAATTTTTTATTTTTCAAAATTTTCTATCACAAAATGAAGGTTACCTACACTAAAATGGCCACAATTTTTTCACGATATTTCCGGAAGAGCAGACCCTCCAATTATTGGCCCTCAGGGTCACAGTTAACAAAAAAAACCACATATAAAAAGTATGGCAGGCGATGTCAGGTTCAACCCATTTTCTAGAGCTTTTGAGACTTTGGCTCCCCGACTAATAAAGACTCACTCTGTTTGGACGATCCTCCAGGGAGTAGCAGGTTTGAACAATGATTTGAAAGCTTTCATAGCTGTAGTCACAAAATATCCATTATTGTAGATAAAAATAAATAAATAAATGCCTACAGCATTGCCCATAGCAAATAAATGTACATAAACCTGAATGTAATTTTCCTTATAAAATGTAGCATTATCTACCTGTTCTCAAAGTGTGTCCTGTGACTGAAGCAGAACTTATTTTTGCAATTAAGATCTCCTGCAAGCTGTGCAGAGTTGAAGCTTCTTTTTTAGAGCACCGTTTAGACTTCCTTTCAGTTATGTGATTTCTTTGAAACCTGGTGTGTGGTATTCTGGACAGTTTAAAAGCAGCAAAATGGTTAAATCCTAACCCAGAATAAGTGTGTGCATCTATGAAAGCATTACAGCAGTACAATTAGCAAATTAAGATAGTGTTCTCATTTGTTGGACCCTTGGAAAGGCCCCAGAAGTAGAGGCCCCACACTACATGTCATGTTCCTTGTAATAAAACCACATAAGAGCTGCATGCTAGTGTTTCATGTTCCTTCAGTTTCTATACAGTAAAGCAACACAAGTGATTGATGACGCAAAGTATTAAAAAGGTTTTATTCTCACAGTATAAAAGTACAAAGAACAGTAACTATTTTACAGGAGAAGCGTCAGTGGATGCTGAAAGCCCAGAGCTCATCCCCTCTGTGCTTTCTGTGAGCAGCAGTTCAAAATGTGGAGATGTAAGTTGTTTGCAGGGTCCCTTCAAATCCCTTTTTTGTACAACTATGTAGTAGATAACCTGTCATGTCAAATCTACAATTTATATCTCTACTGTATTTCCTTACCCAACCTCTTGTACATTGCCTGTATTCATTTTATATTTACTATATGCTAAAAGTTCATAAATATGAATCTGCATTTGTGTATTATTTGACAACTATTTTTAATACTTTTATTTCAGAACTATTGTGTCCAAGTCATTTTCCTTGTGGATCTCTTGCTTTTTAGAATGCATGGCTTTTGAATACATGGGTAACATATATAAACATGTTCTTATCCTTTAACTTGAAAATATCCCAGTTTTTGTGAATTTTGATACTCATCATCTTTTTTTTTACCACACAGTTGAAAAGGAGCCAGTGATGCTTCATGTTATGAGGAAGAAGATGTCCATGAGATGGTGGTCACAGAAGCATTATATAACAGTCAAAAGAACAAACAGTTTAATAGCAACTTTGGAAACTTAACAGGTGATTATTATGTACTCAAAGAAAAGAGCAACCAAATGAAATACTGTTTCCTGATAACATGGTAACTGTTATGTGTGACTGGTACTAATCTTTGTTGATCTGTTGTCCCCAACAACTTTGTCCAAAGTGTGTTAAATAAACTGAGTATAATACGTGTGTACATACAAATGTAACCAGATTTACAATACCCCACGCTTTCTCCAAACTTTGCTGCCCTAACTGTTGTTACTCTACTGTCCCATTAGATTATTATTTGAACAATACAGAAATGTATCATTTGAAAATGCCAGAGGGTGTTTACATTTCACTTGTACATTGTGCCCTTGACATTTACAACGAATGTAGCCCTAAACATATTTATTCTACTGTAATTACACGAGGCTTATCAAATCATTGCTTCTCAGTTCTTTCAATAGCCATAGTTCAAAATGTTTACATTTATGTAGTAAGTTTTGTTTGACCATTTCTTAGGGAATTATGGTTAAACATAGTGATGATGATTATTAGACATCCACTGAGTTGTGTGTGTCGCTACTTGGCTAAACACTTGGTCACTGGATCCTCCACAGCTCCGTCAGGTCTCCATGTCGCCCTCGTGCGGCGTCTGGCTCGGCGCGGCGCGCCTCCATCGACTTTTACCAAAGTATCTGTAACTCCTCCACAGAGTCAGGGACTGAACAGACCGACAGCTCCGAGATCGAATTCAACCGAACCTGTCATTTCTTCCACATCCTCCATGTTTAAAAAACAAAAAATCCCCCCTAACACGTGTTAGTTTACTCCTGTTCACACACAGCTCCTCTTTTGCCTCCGTTTTAGTCCCGCCCCCAAGAAAACGGCACAATGTTTACAAACTTTTTCATCAAAACATATCAGTCAGCCGTGAGTGCACTTGTGACAGCACTGCATTTCCCATCATACATTTGGCCTTTGCAGTCCATGAAGGCAGCTGTAGTTGCCTTTTTCCGCCTTCATTCGTCTTGCAAAGCGCCTGCAGACGTTGTGTATGCAGATGTGTTTCAATCATTATAATGATAATGTAATGTTGTAAAAAACAATGTAAATTAAAATGCATAATAAAAATAATAATATTTTATACAGCAGGATAAAGGTTTGTACATTTTAGTTTTGGTCGAGGAAATCTTCACCAAAATCAATAATTTGTTTCAGAGCCATCAGAATCAATGTGTCCATGTCCTTGTTTCGAATGAATTCAGAGTGGTAATTCTTCACTGGAAAGATGCTTTGCATTGGAATACCCACATATGCAGACACTTCCTCTGTCTGAAATGAAACAATACAAACTAAATTATTATATGTGTGTGTGTGTGTGTGTGTGTGTGTGTGCTTGTGTGTGTGTTATCCACCATCTTACTCTTTTTTTTATTATATTGCTTGTGAAGACCTTTTTAATATTTAAGTGCACCTCAGGGCAGGCTTCATCAATCTTGGTAAGAACTGCTACTTGTGGAATTCCTAAAAAAAAAAAAAAAAAAAAAGAAAGAAAGAAAGAAAGAAAGAAAGGAAAAATAAGTACACATACACACATATACATAGTTTTAGTTGCTCCGCACAAAATATTACCCAGGTCACTGGCTTCAAGGCGGACGTCCCTGATCTTTTCAAGGTGTTCAGTGCAATTAGCAGTGCTGGCTGAGACCACACACACCAGAACATGGGTTTTGTCATTCATAGTGGGACTGCTGTTGTAGAATGGGTCAGTAGGGCTTATTGAAGTCTGAGGGTTGAACTTTAAAACAAAACCAAATTACATCTACAAATCTTCAAAAAAGTATAATACTGACTTGAAATAAATCAAGAATAAATAAACCCAAATACCAGCAGGATTGGTGCATTTGTCCAAAAAGCCTACCGTATAACCATCCTTCACATGTCCCTTAAAAGCTAATGCAATGTCCTCAGGACAAGCTCCTTTCTTCCTTTCCTTCTCGAGACCCATGACATCAGTGAAGACAAAGGGATAGTAGCTGCTACTGTCCTTTTTTATAGGGTGTGTTCGATACTGAAAAAATAGGAAGCGCAGCAACTGTCGACATATTCACCAGCACTAGTGTCAATATTTAATACCTTTTTAGTGAAGCTGGAGCCACCAATACTATCAGATAAAGCCTGACTAGTCACTCTGTCTCTCAGAATTCTTTCCACTGAGTTGATAAAGCTGGATTTGCCAGATCCCGTGGGCCCGTAGAGCATGATTCTAATGTGCTGAACCTCATCTTTGGTCAGTTGGAACTTTTTGATGGAGTCCAGATATGAATCCTTGTCACTATGCACACAAATGAGATAATTACTCTCAAAAGAAAAATTAAAATGAATAAAGACTCACTCTGTTTGGACGATCCTCCAGGGAGTAGCAGGTTTGAACAATGATTTGAAAGCTTTCATAGCTGTAGTCACAAAATATCCATTATTGTAGATAAAAATAAATAAATAAATACCTACAGCATTGCCCATAGCAAATAAATGTACATAAACCTGAATGTAATTTTCCTTATAAAATGAAGCATTCTCTACCTGTTCTCAAAGTGTGTCCTGCGGCTGATGCAGAACTAATTTTTGCAATTAAGATCTCCTGCAAGCTGTGCAGAGCTGAAGCTTCCTTTTAGAGCACCGTTTAGACTTCCTGTCAGTCATGTGATTTCTTTGAAACCTGGTGTGTGGTATTCTGGACAGTTTAAAAGCAGCAAAATGGTTAAATCCTAACCCAGAATAAGTGTGTGCATCTATGAAAGCATTACAGCAGTACAATTAGCAAATTAAGATAGTGTTCTCATTTGTTGGACCCATGGAAAGTCCCCAGAAGTAGAGGCCCCACACTACATGTCATGTTCCTCGTAATAAAACCACATAATACTTAGACTTAGATAAACTTTATTGGACCACAAAGGAAATTATTTGGACACAGTAGCTCACACAACACAATATAATATAATAACAAAGAGTAAAAAATATAAATGGTAATAATAAATTCTAAATAAGTAGCAAAAAAGATAGCAGGAGACAGGTGTCAAATAAGGCATAGTTATATAAATGTAAATGTATAAGTCAAAATAAAATAGAAAGATATGTAATAAAATAAAATAAAATCACAGCTTCACAGTTTATACAAGAGGTCATAAGAAAACAATGCAACAAAGATATGATTACTGACAGGACATAGAGTTATTTGTTACATAAGGGTGAATTGTTGTACATCTGTATGGAGTATCGTATGAATGTAGTCCTGTATCTCTCTGTCTGAGCGGAGCTGTAGGAGCCTGTTGGAGAATGAGATTCTCTATCGTCTGGTGCAGTGGGTGAGCAGGAGTGTCCATGATGAAGAGCAGTTTGTCCAGTGTCCTCCTGTTCCTCATGTGACAAATGTCTCCAGCTCACAGCCGATCACATGACCAGCTTTACAGATCAGTTTGTCAATCTGCCCAATGTCCATTTTTCTGGTGCCGCTCTCCCACCAGACCACAGCGAAGTACAGGGCACTGGCCACCACAGACTGGTAGAAGATTTCCAGTAACTTGCTGCACACATTAACCTGAGCTTTCTGGGGAAGTAGAGCCTACTCACGCTCTTCTTGTACACAGCATTACTGTTGTCCCTTCAGTCCAGCCTGTTGTTCACATGGACGCCAAGGTACATATAGCATTGCACTATTTCCAGGTCATGGGCCTGGATGGTGTCGGGCTCCACTGGTGTCCTCTTTCTCCTGAAGTCAATCACCAGTTCCTTAGTCTTGTCAACGTTCAGGAGCAGATGGTTTGCCTGGGACCACACCACAATGTTTGCAATCAGTGTCCTGTACTCCAGCTCCTGTCCATCTCTGATACACCCCATCACAGCAGAGTCATCAGAGAACTTCTGTATATGGCAGGACTTGGAGCTGTACTGGAAATCAGAGGTGTACAGAGTGAACATAAGCAGAGACAGGACTGTACCCTGGGGGGCTCCTACATTACTGACCACGGTCTCAGACAGGGCGGTCCTCAGTTGCATGAGGCCTGCCTGATAGGTAAGTCAATAATCCAGGAGACAAGCTGACATTCTCTTGTTAGTGACCTGAGCACATATTGCTTTTAGATTGTTGCTAGCAGAACTAAGAGTTTTACTCATAAAAATATCCATATGGGTCCACCAAGTATGAGCCTGGTCTGAAGTGTGCATGCTTAGTACGAGTTTTAATGTTCACAGATACGAGCTACTTTAGATTGAAGTTAGGCAAGTAGTAATATGATTACTGTTTAAGATAGCTCTCCAGGAAAGGAATGAAAGTCAGTGTAATATACCCAAAAAGAATGGAAACCCAATATGTGTGTGCGTTTGTGCACATGCGTGTGTGTGTGTTTATATGTGTGTGTGTGTGTGTGTGTGTGTGTGTGTGTGCTTTGTGTGTGTGTGTTTGTGCACATTTGTGGGTGTGTAGAGCATTTGTATAGAATATTAACTCTTTAAAATAACACTTCATGATGATGATATGTATACATAAAATATACTTGACACACTAGCCATTTATTTTCTCTTAAAAATATATGTACAAATTGCAACACTGCACACCAAACATAATTACTTGATAGTTAACAATTGGCCTGCATTTCCAATCTCACATCCTGTTTTACTAAGTTTGGATTTACCAGAGCACCTGCTGAACTACCACCTGCGTGAATACAGAGTATTTGCAGCAGATGGAGCCAAAGTAGTACTTATTTCCTGCATACAACCCACATTGTCCGTGCACTTGAACCAAAAATATTTGATTTGTTAGTGTAAAAGTATGCACCTATCACTCAGTTTGGTTGAGGATTAGGGCTGGGTAGCCATCATTTCTGTTGACCTCCACTACTTATCCATACTCTTTAGTCCTTCCAACTTTGGGATTAATAAAGTTGTTGATTTATTTTTGTCTGATTGAAAAGTATCCTGTCTGCCTTGGATATACTAATTTGTTAAATTCATATTATGTCAGTGTAATGACAGACATAATGTTTCAGTTATGTTGTTTCAATATAAAGTGCTGGCAGTGACAAACCACAGAATTCTCACTTGAATTCTGTGGTTTAATTTCATGCTAACATTTGGTATGCACAGGAAGACCTGAACACGTGAAACACTGTAGTATATACAGACATAATTTTAACATTTTAGACAACATAATTTAGACAAATGATTAACACTTTGCTATCCCCCTTTCTAAACTTACAAACATTTGTAGAGGACAAGTAAACACAAGAACACTCTAGGGGGCATCACCTTATCTCATTCTTTCCTCATGTTTTACAGGTAAGTATCAAAGTACATTATATGGGTCCATCCATCCATTTTCTTCCACTTATCCGGCCGGGTTGCGTGGGCAGCAGTCTAAGCAGGGACTCCCAGACTTCCTTCACCCCAGACATTTCCTCCAGCTCCTCCGGGGGGACCCCGAGGCGTTCCCAGGTCGGCCGAGACATAGAAAGAGTACTTGCACACAATTTCTTGGTGTAGCTCTTGATCACAAACTTTGCTGGAAACCCCACATTAATTAAATTAAAACAAAAATAGCAAAAGTTATAGCCTTGATAAACAAATGAACAAACATTATGTTTAGAAAGATATATAGCTCTGGCATTAATGAATTATGCATTAAATTAGATTTTTTTTAATTTATATTTTGTCTCTTAAATATACAGTAAGTCATAAGTGAAATTGTAAATGCAAACTTGCTGTTCATACAATGCCTGTCTTTCCTGGAATTCTGTCATTGTTTAAAAGGTTTATGCATTATAAGCAAATTTTACTGCAGCCTAAACCCATTCGGTCATGATCCATGGGGTTGTAGTCTATATTTTGTTTTATTTTATTTTGTAGTACTGCAAAATGGCCAAATAAAACTACTACTAAAGATACAAATACTGGTGTTGGGTAATAGAGTTTCATGAAAAAAATCTGGTATCATTTAATATTGTAGGCACAGTAAACACAGTGTATACTATACAGTACATAATGCAAAATATTAGTATTATTAAGGCAAGAAAAATAATGCTTCATGAATATTTAGTCTATATAGGATAATATATCATAATCTCAGATGGAGGGCAGGGGACTATACCATCTACACAAATGTTGAACTCACTTGGGTTTGCTCCACAAACTTCCCATATTAATTAAATAAGTTCTTTCTTCAAAAACATCATTGGGATTGAATAATGGCACCAGTTTCTGAGTGATTAAATAAAGAAATTCTGGTTGCCTCACAAAGGCCCAGTTCTTAAAGAGGCATTAACAGTCATAAACCAGATCAACAAATCTGTAATCTGACACCTGAACAGTTACATTTTTTAACAGTGCAGTAACTTTTTTGTGATGAAGTTAATTTATTGTGTTGGAGCGCTCACCTGTGATTCTTTCATTTAATAACATGCATTTTTTTCCTATTCATTTCACTGGTTATTGTTTTTTTCTAACACACACGTAGTAATGATGGCTTTAATATCACCTTGTTCCCGCTCCTAAATAAACACGCCTCTCCTCACACTCAGAAGTACATTATTTTTTGACAGGATGGGCAGCGGTGCTTCACATCTTTACAGGAATCAACAAAGAAGGGAACACAGCAGCAGGGCCACAGCCTAAGAGGACATGGACAGAGGAAGGCATTTGGTATGGTGTCAAATGATGTCCTGTATACATTTCTTCCTTAACTGAAATAAATAAATACCCAAGTGCACACATAAAAAGACACATGAGCCAGGTCCGAGCTCCCACCGCGTGCTCTATCTGGGTGACCATGGCCTGGTGGCAGTGAGGACAGTTAGCCGCACGAGGGACATCCTGAGCAAACACGCCTACAGGAGTATACCAGGCTGCAGGAGGAGAAACACAGAACACATTCTATAAAGTGCTGCATTCATTTTAGATCAGAGTGTGGGAATTGTTATCAGATAAACAATAATTTAGTCGTTTGTCATTTGTCCCACATGCCATACGTCTGTACCGTGCATCCCTGTAGCTGATCAATGCAAGAGATGGACTGATAACTGGATCGATAAAGTATCTATCTTAAAAATAAAATAAAATATAAAAAAAATGTTCATGAAGTTTATTTGTGTAGGTAGTCAGTCAGTCTTATTGGTGTCATGGAAGCAAAAATTTTACTCTTCATACATTGGTTTAAAAAGTTTATATTTTTGACTTACCTGTGTTTGATGGTGGTGATGTAAATGGAGGACCTGTTTGACCAATCAACAAAATGTTAATTCTAAAGCTAACTCAATAATTAAAATAGAAAACATTTATTACCAAATACAATATTAATGGCGCTCTATGCCAAGATAAGTCAGCTAGTACATATATCTCATCTGTCTGAATTCTATAGCTGAAAAATAGGCACACAATGGGAGTGTAAACTTTGAGTAGCAAAAAAGTGGAAACTATATTAAACTATACTTAAAATACAGTATTGTAACATGAGAGCTACTGTGTCCAATGAATTACCCATGTGGATCAGTAAAGTTTGTCCAAGTTTAAAATGCATAGCTTTTTGAAAGTGAAAGACTTGCATCAGACAAATCCCAAGCGTGACGTTAAGATTAGCTGAGATGAATTTGATCCACAGCAGACTGCTTTTTGTCATGGCAAAGTGCAACTCTTCCAGATACATTATAGTTTGCTGATAGTGTGGTTCTTTGGTGTGGCTATGTTCAGGAAGTACAAACCTCTTAATACGGTCACTGGAGCATGGAAAACACCTGTTTGAAATAGGAAAGGTTAGTGCACACAATAATACATGATTATATGAAGAAAAACAATGTATAAACAACAACATACCTCCTTGATGTCCCACTTGTGGATTTGAAAGTCCTGCAGACTGTACACCTGGATAATGTACTGGTGGCCCTGGGTATGGAGGGGCTGGATCATTCATAACAGTTTCTGTGTGTAACAATATTTTAATTATCATCAGTTCAAAATCCAGTTTTGTGCATTCATGAATTTCTTCATTTTGTACACGTTGTAAGTGCTGATATGGGTCATGCACAGCAAGTGCAAAATAGTCCTTTAACTACCCCATCCCCTTCAGAGTAGCTCACAGAGGGACTGCTGAATTATATGTATTGTGTTGAATAACTAAAACTTTATGAATTAAATGCCTATTACCAGTGTAAATGTTTTTTTTTTTTGTGCACTGATAAGTGGACAATGGTTTATGTTTTATAAGCTGTACACCATCTAAGGCAGACATGTCAAACTCAGGCCCGGGGGCCAAATTTGGCCCGCAAGATCATATCAAATATGTATTAGAGCTGGCCCGCCGGCTACAGATAGACTATATAGAAATTATTTATTTAAAATGTTATTATTTTATATTACGCTTGTTCTGGATTCAGTGTTTAAGCAAAACTATTATTAAACATTTATTTTAATAAGAAAAGGTTTAACATTACATATCTCAAAAGAAGATAAAACATGCAGATGTTGTTGAAATTTTTCAGTAAATATTTAGTTTGGCCCATGACTTAGTCCCAGTTTTTAATTCTGGCCCTCTGTGAATTTGAGTTTAACACCCCTGATCTAAGGCTTTCCATAGCTCTATACTGGCTGTGGCTCTATAAACTCAATTTCTCGTGACCGTTAAAACAAGTAGCCTTCTGGCATTTTCATTTTCTCAAAGTAGCTCATCACAGAAAAAAATAAAATAAAATTATATCATTGTCTATTTCAGCAATCTAGACTTCATGGGAGGTTGGATACCGTAGTATATACAAGTATGGTTAAAAGGATGGTTAAAACGCAGAAATGCAGAAACCAACTCCGTAGCAACTCTGACAAATTGATGAATGCCATAAGAAAGCTGTAATTAAAATTCACTTTGAAGTATTATATGTATGTTACATCTTCCATTTCCCTTAAATTCACCGCACCAACACCCAACAGATAAAAAAATAAATAAATACACAAATGTGGCAAAAATGTGAATAATCAAACATTTTATTAACGATTAAAGACATCATAAAATCAAACATTTTAACTGCTGCCCATTTGCCCCAAGCTAATCAAGTTTACTAAAGACAATAAGAACAGTCTGGAATTCAAACGGATAATTTAAGTAAACGTGATAAAAAAATAATTAATTTCAGAAATTACAGCTATCCTTGATATAGTCAGAAGCTATATTTAATAATAATCGCACTTCATCATACACACATATAATACATGAAATGAACACAGACATACAGTATATAGGTAGAGGTGCCTCGCTTTCACACTTTACATCCTCTTGTATATATAGATTACTCTTTGGCAGTTTGGACAGCGGTGCTCCACATCTTTACAGGAGTCAACGCAGAAGGGAATACAGCAACAGATGAAGCACCTGGAAGAGCAAGAGTAGTGATAAGATTAGATAAAACAGAATAGATAGAATACATTTATTCCTATTCCTGACCGCTGAAGCAGACCTGTAATAAATGACTAAATCTTTCAGTCAGAGTGCTTCCGACAATCGTTACAATTCTGCACTGTTAGGTACACCATAAAAAGCTTGATTATGGCTTTTTAAGATCAAATAGGCCATACAAGTTCAAGTTCGATTGTGTTTATTGTATCTCAAAAAACCTGACTCTTCTTTGTCAATATTTAAACAAAATATTAAACTTTCTCATTAAAATTATATTATTTCATTATTTTACAGTTCTAAATAAAACATGTAAAAGTTAAAATTTTAAGTTTAGATGTTTTATTGTGTAATGAATTTGTGTGGCCATAAATTTGTGCTCACTGCAACATTTATTTTGCTCATGCCGTGTACAGCGTTCAGTCCAACATCTCCACTGTGTCTCTGTTCCAAGGCACATAAAGCCATACCAAATATATGAGTATTTAATATTCTCTAATTTTGACTTAATTTAGTGGGAGAAAACCTGTTGTAAATATGAATTACAGTTTTACACCCATCAAGAAACAATTTGTGAGGAAAAGTTGACAAATATGTTGAAATTTACTGGAAGTAGGGAGTTCTAAAACATATTGATGACATTACAATAGGGAGAATGCAATCCAAACGTCTGAGACAATTTACACAAGAATACTGATACTTAATATATGATTTCAACAAAATAAAGGTGGTGTCTTATATTTGTCAAATAATAATCACTGTGTACATTAGAGGAGCTTTGGCCCAGTGTAAAACGTGGTTCCTACATAACAATAGGCTCTATTCACGCTTACTGGCGGGCTCTGTTCACGGTAATAAGTCTGGCAAAATCTAGGAAAAATGAGAAAATGGCCCAGTTTTCTTTATCTATATGTCACTGTAGCATTCCATTATGTTGGGCTAATCAACAAGTACAACCACACCTCAGTTTTCATAATTTCCCCACTGACACAACTCCGAGCGCACTGGGTACATGCGATTAGAAGCGATGAGGATGCCAAAATCAAGATAATTCCAAACAGCAAATATGTATGCAGCCTTCATTATAGCCCTGATCACATTTACTTCAATGGGTTTTATCAGTCGGTTGAGGAGCCAAGTGTCGGGAACCATCGCATGTTTCCAAAAGTCTTCCTGGTTTGTGATGTAAGTGTGGATACAGCCTATTATGATATTCCCTAGTGTGATGCCATAATTTCCTAGCCTGATTCATCAGCCGATTTGACTTTTGGTCTGACTCAGCATGTCAGTGAGCCCACTCACAACAGAGGGCACACTCTGGACCTGCTCATTACAAAGGGTGTAAATATTTCAAATGTCAATGTGGTTGATGTTGCTCTGTCTGATCATTTCTGTGTCTTCTTTGACCTGTCTGTTATTCCCAAACCACCGGCTGCTCCTACAGTTGTTCGAAGGAGACACATAAATGATAACACAGGTGCACTGTTCATGGAAATGATACATTTTGAAATTGCCTCATGTTCTAATGTTGATGATGTGTTGAACTCTGTGACTTTGAGTGTTTTGAATGTTCTGGATGCCATCGCTCCGATAAAGGTTAAAGTGGTTAAAGATAGGCAAAAAGCTCCGTGGAGGAATGATGACTCAGTCAGGGCACAGAAAAGGGAGTGCCGGAAGGCTGAGCGGAAATGGCGCAAGTCAAACCTCCAGGTTCATTATGAGATTTACAGAGGAACAATGCATATGTACAACTACACTTTGAGTAAAACAAGAGAGAAGTATTTTTCGGACATTATTGGTAATTGCAGTAACAACTCTCGTGTCCTGTTTGCAACAGTGAACAGATTAACAAACCCTCCAGCTCCACTGCCACAAGAACTAATTTCCACATCTAAATGTAATGAGTTTGCAGTTTTCTTTAATGACAAAGTTCAGGGCATCAAAAATGCCATCAATTCCACAACACAAATAACAAGCATGCAGCCACAGAGACACTTAGAGCTGAATCACTTTGCACCTGTAACTGACAAAACTGTTTTAGAGATCGTTACCAGTCTGAGTTCATCTACTTGCTGCCTGGACATGTTACCCACTAGATTTCTAAAGTCTGTCCTCAACAGTTTACTTTCACCACTCACTCACATAGTTAACATGTCACTTCAATCTGGAACATTCCCAAATGCGTTGAAAACTGCGGTCATTAAGCCTCTCCTAAAGAAGAGCAGTCTTGATGCCACAGTACTGAACAATTTCCGACCCATCTCAAATCTGCCGTTTTTTGGCAAAGTCCTTGAAAAAGCTGTTTACCAACAGCTTACGAACTTTCTCCAAATGAACAACTCCTTTGATGTTTTCCAGTCAGGTTTTAGAGCCCACCACAGCACTGAGACTGCTCTTATCAAGGTGACAAATGACATCCGCCTGAACACTGATGCAGGCAAAGTCTCAGTCTTGATCCTGTTAGATCTGAGTGCTGCTTTTGACACTGTCGATCATGGGATCCTCTTACAGAGACTAGAGGACTGGTGTGGGCATTTCTGGTACTGTACTAAACTGGTTCAAGTCCTATCTAGAAGACAGGAAGTATTTTGTTGAAATTGGAAACTGTGTCTCAGATCACATGGCCCTGACCTGTGGGGTGCCTCAGGGGTCAATCCTGGGCCCCCTGTTGTTCAATCTCTACATGCTGCCATTAGGCCAGTTAATAAGCAGCAATAACGTGTCGTACCACAATTATGCAGATGACACTCAGATCTACGTCTCTCTGGCAGCAGGAGACTATGGACCAGTGGAGTCACTTGGTCACTGCATCCAACAGATCAGTGTGTGGATGCAAAACAACTTTCTCCAGCTAAACTCTGACAAGACTGAAGTCATAGTGTTTGGTCCACAGAAACAAAGGGACAGTGTCAGCAGTCACCTCCAGTCTCTCTCTCTAAAACCTTCAAATCAGGCAAGAAATCTAGGGGTAATAATGGACTCAGACTTGAACTTTAACAGTCACATAAAATCAATAACATCTGCAGCCTTTTACCATCTAAAAAACATAGCAAAAATCAAAGGTTTACTGTCTAAATCAGACTTGGAGAAACTTATCCATGCATTTGTCTCCAGTAGGTTAGACTACTGTAATGGTCTGCTCACTGGTCTCTCCAAACGAGCTGTGAGACGCTGCAGAACATCCAGAACGCTGCAGCTCGGGTCCTTACTCGAACTAGGAAGTACGAGCACATAAGTCCTGTGCTCAGGTCTCTGCACTGGCTTCCTGTGCCTCAGAGAATAGACTTTAAAGCAGCTCTGCTTGTGTACAAGTCTCTCCATGGCCGAGCACCAAAGTACATCTGTGACATGTTAGTGTCATATGAACCATCTCGCACTCTGAGGACCTCAGGGACCGGCCTCCTGCTGGTGCCCAGAGTCACGACTAAACAAGGGGAGTCAGCGTTTCAGGTTCATGCAGCTAAAACCTGGAACAGTCTTCCTGAACATGTGAGACAGACTCTTCTGTGACGCTGTTTAAATCCAGACTCAAAACATT